ACATTGCTCTGTTCAAGTGGTTATGTGTCAGTTTAACCAGACACAGCATAATATTACCTCCTTTTTCTGGAACTAAATGCTGACTAAACATGCCACTATAAGGTTTTATCTGATGAATGTGCTTGTTTTCATCCAGCTTGTAGAACTTTGTAGAATTATTGCTGTAGCCGTAAACCAGACTAGCAATTCTGGTGCTAAGCAGCCAGAGGGACGCCTTTTGGCCATTATGTCAACTTAACGACTTGACAAATAATTGCAAGCCTTTAACATCAACTTTAAAGCAATGGGACTGGGTAGGTAAGCAATTTTTTTCTAGAAAATAACACCACCTGAGTCAAGAAACACTCATTCCTCGAGGTCGTGTGCACCACCCTTCCTTATACATTGGTGTATTTAAAGCTGCATCTGAAGTCTCAAAGATGTGATAGTTAAATAAGTCTGTAAATTAAGTACTCCAGTGTGTCAGGATACAGCTGTCTGCTTCAAAAAAGATTTACGGTAATTCAGGTCCCACACTGAGTTGTGAGTCTTAAAGTGTGAGCAAAGGGCACAGAAATATATCCACTAAAGTAAAAGGGTAAAAAAACAGATGGGAAGCCTGATCCAGACTAAACAAGCCCTAGTGCCCAGGACTGACCTGACACATGTGCCCCTCTCAGCCACAACATTGGCTGTCTTAATTGAGATCCCTCGGATGCATAGATCTCTGCATGAGAGGCAAACAAACAGAGGAGAGAGAACCATGAGAGTGCATGTCAGCATGAACAAAGACAGGGCACGGCGAGTTTCCGAAAACAAACAGCAAATGCAGCCAGATGGGTTTTCCATCGCAGCTCTGTGTTAATGAGAGGAAGCAGGGGAATGCTTCCCAGGGATTGTATTGTGATACTGCCGACTGCTCCACCTCGAGCAGCTTGATCGAGGGAAACCTCCAGGAGTTTGGCCCTCATTCCTACCTGCCCTGGTAATCCCTGCATGAGCTACCTGGAAAACAGCAGTCCAGCATCCGCCCTTAGCCTCTCTGTGTATGAAAGGATGTCTGATTCATGTCAGATATACTTATGACTCAGAAGTCGCCCAGCCAAACTTAACATTCAGCTGATGCCAACTTCACTCCATGTTCTTCCTGCTTTGTCCTCAGATTCTTGGAACTTAAAAATAAAAACAAGTGCAGTTCAAGGTCAGCGATATCAATGATCTATTGTTGGCAAAAGAGAAACAGCCTCAAGAAATTTTTAAGGATGTTGGTGAGTTTTCAAACTTTAGATGGTCTTTCCTCTAACGTTTGACAGAGAGCATTCCAGTTCATCTAATCATTTGTCAAAACACGCCTGTAAGACTGAAGGCAACCTGTGGGGGAAAAAAAACTGAAATGCACAATAATATATTTCACTCTTACATAGACATGATTATGGGTAATTTTTTTCACACAGCATTTGTGTTTGTAATCTGTCACCTTGCATGAAAACCATCCAAACAATATTCATTGGGAGAAAATGCAGCAAATACAGAAATGACACATGAAAAATTCAAATAACAAACACGACTATTGAAACACATCACAGATAATAAGAAAAACACACATGCTGCACAAAACTAAAACAAGTGCACAAACAACAAACAGACTGCAAATACAGAAATGGTACAAAACAAGAATACAAAGCATAAATGTATTTGTTTTTAACAAAGTCTTACACTGGAAGATGGCATCAGAGTGAAGCCTGACCATAAAACCTCAAACTCACTGAAAGATCGTTTAGGATGGACAGGCAGCTGTGCGCAATAAACTCTGCTGAGTGTAGCCTTTTTTGACCTTTTTTCTTTTTTTCTTCAGATATTGAATCATCATTACATAAAAATATGGATAAATATCCATCAATACAAATGCTTTTTATCCACAACAAACGACCATTTTTCTCCTTTTTGTCTTGTAACTGGTGCATTTCTCACCGCCATTCAAATACAACAATCTGCCCAACATTAGTTTGTCGATTTTACACCACAGTAAAAACAAGGAAGTGCAAGATGGCAGCCTCCACAGAGAATAGCTGTAATGGGCTCATCTTAAAGAGATACTCCGGCATAAATTTAAGTGAGGGTCAAACACACCGTAACACCAAGTTAGACACCCCCTCAAGAGATGAATGTTGCTGACCGCTTGCTACTCTAGTTACACCAACTTCAACAATGACAGCACGATAGCAATACACAGTGGTCTACGTCTCCATATGCAAACCTCAACCAAAAAGCTACTCTATAACCACAAATAATGCTCAGAACAGCACTTAACTACATAAACAGTACTTATAGGGTCCCTGCCATAGTACGAGCCATCAAACATCTTTTTAGCTTTGCCTAATTTCTTTAGCAAAGAGACTAAACACAACTCACCTACTCTCTTCCAGCAGCCGCTTGTTTGTGAGGGAGCCCTGATGAGTCCGTCACAGAGTGCAGTGGAGTTTTGCAACTCAAGGAAGAAAATTGATGATTATTACTTCATGGATATTCAATCAGAGTTCTTGTATATCTTGTATATGCACTGCAGACACGGTAGTTTTTCTGCCTTAGCGTCTTGGCTTGATTGCATTTCCATGAAGTAATAATCATCAATTTTCCGCTCCGTTTGGTGATCGACTCGTCAGGGCTTCCCCAAAAACAAGCGGCTACTGGAAGAAAGTGGGTAAGTTGTGTTTAGTCTCTTTGCTAAAAAGATCAGGCAAAATTAAAATATGCGTAATGGTGTGTTTGACCATAACTTAAATCTATGCCGGAATATCCCTTTAATTTAAAAAAAAGAAAACTCAGTCGAATACATATTGATTAAAACATGCTGATAGGCAGCCTTGCAAATGGCATAGCAGTAAATGACTGTCACATAAAGTGCAATGAAATTTAAGCGCCTCTAAGACCAGGAAGGTGCTACATAAGCGCATTCCATTTACAATTCTACACAAAGGCAATTTAATTAGGATGAAAATTGTACAATCAAGAAAGGCATCCAAGGGTCAAACCCAGGAAGTTAGTGAAACTTATCCAAAGAGGTCAGTCATAAGTCTGTGGATCAAGCAAGAGGTCAGGCAGGCAAACAAAGGCTGGAAAACCGGGGCGGATATAATCGAGACATTCTGGCACTGAGTGGGGAGAAAAGAAGGCTGGTAGAAAAACTGACTGGATGATGGAAAATGATTCACAGGTAAGAAGGTCAGGTGTTGGTATAGTGGTGGGAAGAAGGAACCTTCAGGGCAGAGGGGAAGTGGATGGATGACCCGGAGTCAGGATTGGAACGGACTGAAATAGATTGAATTGGACTGGATTGGATTTGGTTGATTGGATTTGCCTGAATTAAAATTTAATAGATCAGACTGACATGGATTTGTTTAGACTGATTTAGACTGGATTTGAGATGACTGTTTTATTTATTTGGATTACACTGGGCAAGAATAGAACAGATTAGGTCTATTTAGATTAGTTTGGATTAGATGTCTGCCTTGCTTTCTAAAGTCTTAAAGTTTTCTTCTTCACATCTTAAGGCCCCCTATTTTCCTCAGTAAAAATACACTCAATTTCCTCCGGAAAAATGTGTCCATGAGTCATCTTTTCTCCTCTTATTTTTATCCTACATGTAGGTTGTAATGAGGTGGTCATTCTTCGTGATGCCAGCTGTCAGCTGCGATCTACACTGACGGGCATGTTTTGTCTTTAATTATGTTATCATGTAAAGAAAAAAACATTTATTCATTCTAGGTCACCTGTTTTTGCAATGATTTAATTTGTTTTGGTTAAGTTTTGCTACATATGATGGAGGCTACTAGTGTCAATAATCTAGACCTTGTGATGCAGGGCTTAAAAATAAAAACTCAAATAAGACTGACAGATAAACCTGCACTACTAATCTTCTGTGCAGAACTTTTAGTCTCTATCAATTTTACTCCCGCTTTGGACAAAAAAGTCCTTGCTTATCTTAAATAGTATTTTTTTGTCAAATGTGTCATATTCTGTAAAAATCTTCAGTGGAAACTGTTAAACAGGGTGTTTCTGGAATGTTTCAAGCATACACCTATACCCTTGCACTGGCAACTGGCATTATAAATTACAATATAAAAATCATCAATCTTGTTGCTGATGGTTTTGTTTGTTTCAGAAAAGCACTAAAAGGTGTCCATATGAATTATGAATCTCAGCTTATTCAAGAAATGTGTAAAAAAAACAAAAAAAAACTTGAAGGAGGCTTCCACTTTGCAGTTTTGTTTTTCTTGAAACTTCCATAACATGTAGAACAATGTATTGGGCTCTTGAGAGTTATTTTTACATTTGGAAGCAGCCGCCTAGTCATTAAGTCCAGATCCATGGACTCTGAGAGACCAGTAGGTTGAATGAACCCCGCTGAGGCTGGCTGACTGTTTTGAGAAGCCCACGAGCAGCTCTGACATGAAAAAGCCCCGCTCCTGCAGCACCTTCACTGAGAACAGCGGAGAGGAAGTTCCCTCCTACTGCACAACGTAAACTTGGCTCCAATAAAAGCATCCGTTGGCACCTCACTGGACAACAGGAAATCTTTGTTTATCCAAAAACATCCCGTTGTTGGCCTCGGGTGTGTGACCCCCTCTGACTGTGAGGCTACACAGAGCCACATCGCAGCCGTGGTGGAGCCTGGTATTTCAGTCCCCGAGTTAGCTGAACAAAGCTGCCATATCCTTAAGATAAACAAGCACTTCATAATGTATGTGTGTATATATATGCTGACTGTATTAGTCTTGCGTCAGACCCTCAGAGCCGCGACTGTTCAAGTGCCTTTAGGTATGTATTGTTTAACTGACACTCCCATGCTCAGGGGCCAAAACATCTAAAGTTAGAAATAGAAAGAATACCACTGTACAATACTGTTCCCATTCTTATCAGAGTGGATATTACCTGTGGCAGTAAGTATGTGACAGCATGTATTTTCCTCTGACAAACACAGTACTGTATATTTACCCACAATAACAGAGCAGAGGAATCTCTTTAGTCTACCCAGTCAATGGGTTTTTATTACGTTTCCAGCAACAGATCCATGTCATTCACAGTAAAGTTCAACACATTTACATTTCCAAACATTATATCCGAACATACATATGGACTTTATGTCAGAGAATAGGTATATATGGTAGTGTAAATACAGTTTAAAAAGAAAAACTTCTTAAATCATATTAAATGGTGTTTGTGATAAAGTATTTCTTCAGAGAAATGGGGGAGAAAAAAACTGAAAAACCTAAAAAGACTGAAAAGGCTTAAAAGACTGACGATGATGGATGATGTTATTGCTTCAGATCACAATGGACTTCAAACTTTCTAAACCACTTTTCAAAACAATAACAAATGCAAGCAGAAGGCATCATGATGTCTTTTGGTTTAGTTAGGAGACATGACAACAGTTCATGATCTGGTATGACTCTCAGCTCCAGTACGAACCCCCATTCAAATACCCGACATAAGAAAAGGTAGAATCTGCATCCATTGGACTCAATTTCAATGCCAGATCTTGATATCTGTTATTATTTTGTTGACATGACATTGCAGTTGAGTAGGCATTTGCTGGGGCATAAAAGGCTGCTTGTTGCTTTAAGATTTTTATTTTATGTCAAAGAGACTCCTTTTTTCAATATGTGATGTCATGATTGACAGCTCTGTGGACAAATGAGGCTCCTGCCGTGTTCTTTGCCAAAACAGCGGAGCAGAGGTGGTGACAGAAAACAAAACTATCTCCAACCATTAAACCCTCCATAACTGTGAGTGTCTGCTCCAAATCAGCATGAGTATCTGCTCTCCTGTGGACTGTATAGTCTAATGTATACATTTGCTAGAGAAATGGGTCCCTCAGCACAGACCTTGTCTCACTTAAGTACATCACTAGTGCAGATTGACATGACCCACTTCACTGGAGCAGCATTGTCTTCATGAATCTCAACAAGAGGAACATGAACACACACTTTTCATATGAACATACTGTAAAGGAATCCGAGGATGTATTCAGAATGATGTAGTGAAGATGTCAGAACCAGATTTGCATTGGATATTGGTGAGTCTCGTCCTGCCTGAGAAACTGAATCATATTTTATAATTGAGTACAATTAAGATCCACACTTTTCCTGTAAAAAAATGCCCCAAAAAAATGCCCATGCCAAGCTGGGCATGGTGGAGTGGCAGGGGGAGGTGTTGACAGAATCAGCTGGAGCAGTGACATTTTCGTGCTCGCCGGTGGCGTATAAAGTGTGCTGAAAGCTCGCCGATTCAAACCTGGTCAGCTTTCAGCGCAGGCAAAACGCAGCTGGTCTAGTAGTATTTTGGTAAAGCAGCGTCGTATCGGTATACGTAACCGATGCCTCACCGGCAGGTTTCCACAGTGTCAGGCACATTTCAGTGCAATAAATAATCAACAACAACTAATATTCTGAGTCAGCAAATACATTTAGATCTATATTGAAATATTCTGATCTATATCTGATCTGATGAGTGCGTTCGGCACGCGTTTGGACACACAACCTGATCGAATCTACACAGCTGAAACCGCATTAAATTAAATTAAATATCTAGTAAATAGACACACATGATGAAGTGAACAAGATATGTAATTCACCTCCCTCCTTTTCTTACTTCCTCTTCCTCTTATTTCTCATGCAGCTCGACCTGGACATGTCTCCGTGTCCTCTCCCTGTCCTGCTGCAGCTGCTGCTGCGGCGGCTGAACAGATGATTTATTTCAGTGATCAGATGAGTTATTTACTTCAAGCCTACATACGAATATTATAATATTCAGTTTTATGAGCCAAATTTATTTTATATGCCAACATCTATGAAAGAAAGAGCCAGGCCACGGAGCGCGACGCGTCATTTATGCACAGATGGTTCCGATTTTAATGCCATTATTGGAATTTATGTTTTGATCTGTGCGCACAACCCACCTTTGTCACGCGAGGTTTAAATATATGCAACTTTATGTGAGTGGGAAGGGGTGTTTGTCTTACCAGTGGGTCCAACATTACACACACCAAATCCGTCCGTGTTTATATGAGACAGGACGCCCTCTGCAGCACTTACAGCGATGATTGTTGAGGGGCTGCCTTCTGTCGTCATTGTTTGGCATTGCTGTCTTCAGACATCTCTTTGACTACTTCATGAAAATTGTAATATGCCTCGACAGTGGCGGATTTAAAGGCAAGGAGAGGAGCTGATGTGATTGGTGAAAACAGGTCTCGGCTGTGTTAAACCCACTCAACGCCCTCTCTCCTCCCTCCCTACGACTTACGCCGCTGGAAGGAGCTGAGTTAGGGGGGAAAAAAATACCAAATTGTGCTTGGGAACACCTTGTCGGTGTGGCGGACCTGACTTACGCCACGCATGCGCCACGTCGCTGGTGAGGCACGAAAATAGAGCCCCTTGAAGTATTATCATTTAAATTTGGACAAACGTTCCCTAAAATTTAAAGTGAACAGCCACTCACTCTGTACAAGTTTTTTTTTTTCATGATTCAGTTACAGGAAAAATCACACTGATGCTGTTTTACTGTTCAAACAGAGCACTAACTTTGTCTGTGAATCATGCATTGACAGTAAGAGATGTCAGGTGTGGTCCACAGTGACCTGTTCCTGACTCGTTAAGTGAGGGCTGTTGAAGATGTATTTCTGGCACTGATAATGATCCCTGTTGTGATTTATGAAAATGAAATATCACGTTAGGTCATACAGGACATGACAGACACACGCCCTGACTATAATCAGTCGACAGCCTGATGATTGAATCATCACCTCTACTCTCTGACACACCAATCACAGCACATCCACACCTCAAGGCAGTCCCTCTGAATCAACTTCCCTCTCACTCATCTCTGCTACACCGGAGCCCAACATACACAGTGCTCCCACTGCTGTTGCTGCGTCTACATCATCCTGACCTCCACCTTTCTACCCTGAAGCCTCTGGTCACTCTGTATACCAGAGAGGTTGCATTTTGCTCCTTAGAGATCATTGCATCTTCATTGAACATCTTGTCACTTGCACCAGGATCTCTAACAGTGATGCTGTTCTATTAGCACTGGGGTCTTTCCAGATGCTAAATAAGTCTCTTAACTATTATAAAATGAATGAATTTGTGCTATTTCAAGCTGATTCCTGCAAACCTTCAAGTGTGCATCATAGGTAACAGGAAAAATAATGACTGGGACATCCCTCTTGTGTCAGAGGACCTCAGAGTCCACAATAGTCCAAGCAATGGACAAAAGCTTCGTTAGTTTACTCAACACAATTTAACATCACTTCTTTTCCTTAAGATGAACATCAACATACCAAAGCTCACAGCCAGTTTCACATTTCGATTAAAAATGCACATCTGGGGATGGAGAAAGATGAATAAGTCAGAGAGCGTGTACAGTACGTGCAGTACCTGAGGTCAAGTCTCTTTAAGTGGCTGGTAACAATATTTTGGTACAATCAGTTTTTGGTCAAGGTGCATGTACATCTCATGAGTATCTTCACTCTGAACACCCATAGCTAGTCTTCTCGGTGTGCTTTAATCATGTCCTCTGTGTTCTGGCCCTCAGCAGGATGAGCTGCTGCACTTCTGGCACTTGTCCTGCGGTTTATCCTCAGACGCTGCTCTGAGAACCAGTTGGAGACGGTCATGGCAAGCCGGAGGAAACCAAGGCTGATGCAGTGAACCTCCGAGGTGATGGGGATATCGGAAAAGAGTGCATGGTCCCGGCTCATGAGGGCACTGCGGCATTCGAAGTCTTTGACAATGTTGAGGATCTCTTGGCGCTCTGCCTGCCGCATCATGCCCCGTATGTTGAGCAGGGTGGAGACATGCTTCTTCCTGTGGGGAGGAAGGATGCAGAGAGGAAGAGGGGCAGACTGATGTTAATGGAAATCAGGTCTGTTTGGTGTCGTCAAAAGCTGCCAGGACTCTTAGTAAGAGCCACAGCTATTTGAGTCATGGCAACTGTTTCTGGGAAATAGCAGAAAATATAGTTCCACTTTCTGAGAAGAAAATCCTGTCAGAGATTTTCATTGTCATTTAAATCGCCAAAAATTCTCCATGCCTCACAGACGGATTTTGTAATGACAAATAACCAAAGTACAACACTTGTGCAAACATCCTACTTCCATGACAGACTTCCAGACTGTACTCACAGACCACTTTGTGCTGTCTGAATTATGTGTGAGAACTTCCCTCAAACACCTGATGGTCACTGACATACTATGCCACAAATCCCACAGTTCATTGCGATGCAAAGTAGAATTGCTAACAGAAAAGGATGACCAGCTCACTCTGTTGTTACTTTGAGTTTGTGATACGATATCTCAAACTGACAAAAATATACAAAAGTTATAACCATCTTCAAATACAGACACATGTTATCCTGTCCACATCCTTCTAAAGAGACTGAACAAGATCATCAGCTACATACAGTAGCCCTGGATTCAGCCCAATTAGAAGGATTCGTGTTTAGTCTTGATGAATTAGAGCTACCTCAGGAGACCAAACCTAGATAGAAAAACTCCTTGACCTAATTTTCACAGCGTTATATGACTGTTTCACTCATCAACAATGCATTGGCCAAGCTGTGTGTTTAGAGGTTTGATCAAATGCCCATGTGTAGGTACAGTCATGTCTTCATGAATGGACTCGAGGAAGGTCAGCAGGCTTTGATCTCCGAAAATACCAGCATACAGTAAACAAAAGGGGGTGAGCCAAGCAGTGAGTTAGCATGTCTGCAGGTCTGAACTACTATGTTTTACTCTCCTCTCTACACCTCTCCCCCTTTGATTCCAAGTGTGGCACCAGTCTGTCTCCTGCAGGGTGGCAGGAACAGGAAGTACTCGGCAGCAGCTTCCTGTCTGTTCCACAGAGGGTAGTGCGTCACATGCGGTCGTAGGTTGCCGACCGTCACCTGAGTCTTAATCTTAAACACAAACAGCTCGAATGGCTGGGACTCCCCCATGAGGCCTCTCAGCCTCATCCATTCTCAAAACAGACCCTCGTCCTCTCCAAAAATAGCAAAGTTAATGTAGATATGTTTCCGCACTTCTTTTCCTTGTTTTGATCCATTGTGACAAAAAAAAACATCCACGGTCTTACATTTTTCTTTGCTTGGCTGACGGCCAAAAACAGCAGTGTGAATGTGTAGCGGTAAGCAGAAAAGAGAATGGGACCTCTGGGGGTACAGTGCAGTGAATATCTGTTTTTATAGACACATCCTGGTTGTAATAAATATGTCCTAACTGATAATCATTTCAAGCCCTCACCGAATATCTGGAAACTCTTTCACCAGGACAGCAACCTCCATCTGGATGGAAGGAGTGTCCTCCAGCAGGATGATGTCAGCCAGGTGGCTGATGACGCTGTCCAACCAGGATGAGCTTGACTCCTGCAGACAGACAAAAAGCACAGCAGTTATTTATTAAACCCAAAAAAAAAAATCAGATTCATTTAAGACAAATTGACTACAGTGATTTAAAACCTCTTCAAAACCAAAAAACTCTTCATTCTTTGGAAAACACAATACATGGAACCAAAGCATGTCTTTCTGTCTGTCTAACTGGACAGTATAAACGGAACTGAATGGGACCATGAGTCAATGCTTCTACACTGTGTGGAATGGATCATAGCTCAGTCACAAATACATGTATCACAGGCTGCAGATCGAACAAATCAATCAGTGTGCTGGGCCTTCATAAAACATATCTTATGATTTCAAGACTTTGTCACTCTGGCAAACATTTGCTTGTTTGCACCCCTGCATGCTTGTGATTACGACAGCCTCTCTCTCCCTGCTCTCCTCTCTGTGTTGAAGATGCAGCAGACCTCCGTAAACTTAGATTCAAAGCCCTCACACTCCCAATTTTATTTTACATTGATTTGAGCTGTTAATAAAAAGTTTCAGTGAGTTTCAGTTTAGGGGAGAGGCAGCGCGAACACCGTTCTCTGAGGAAGGACAGGGAAGATGCTGAAGACGCCTTCAGACGAAACCAAGGCAGCACAGCAATTGTTCAGTCTCACTTATGATTTAAGTGTGGGCTATACGGAGTATGCAAGGCACACACCAAGATTTTGATGATGGCTTCCACCCTGCTCTTTCTTTCTTTCTTTTGCTCTTTCCACTCCCAAAGAAAATTGCGTGCAATGTTTCACCATTTGGTCTCAGTTGAGGGATCTTTCAAACTGGGATCTTGTTTGGAGGGCAAGGTCAGAGACTGCAAATGATTTCCTAAGAAACAAAGGTAGGAACCTTTGGTCTGTCCAGGTGCCAGGACCAGAGAGAGGAGAGCTGAAAAAGTGCTGTGAAAGGCACAGTAACTCTAGTCACGCTGTTGTCTGTTGTGGCTCCTGCTATTACTTTTTGGTGTCGTAGTAAAAACTGAGACAATTAGCATCTGTTACATCACTTTTAATTTGACACTAATTTACAAGACTACTATCATGCACCAAACTTTGCCGTGTTTCACCAGGATGAGGACTGCATTTCCCATAAGCACCATCACCCATTGAGGTCAAGATATGTCTCGCACCAAAGCGTGCATTTGTTGTCAAATAAATCTTCTTTTTGATACTACTTTGATTTGTTCAATACAACTTTTTGCTGCTGAATTGTTGATTTGTCCTCATCAAATCATTTACCACAACTAAACAACTGCTATGTCAAGTGTGGGCCTCTCAGACTTTAATTCTCAAATGGACTAACATTGTGAATAGAGGTGCACTGGTGCCTCAGACTCTCAGTTAGATGGTCGACAGCTTTACACCAAATGTCACTGCATTTTCTGTGATTATTCTTCAAGGCTTCAAATTCCTTTTGGGACAGAAAGAGTTTCACAGGGCTTCATTTGCTCCTCAATGCACAAATGTAATGTAATCCATCGTCTTTTATTACTAGTCCAGAATCTGTTCGGTGGGGTCCATTTTCTTTTCCTGACACAAACCCCCTGGCAGTGGATTCAGACAATGAATGTTTACATAGAAATACCCCTTTACTCTGTTTATCTTTTTTGCTTTTACAGTTCTTAAAGAGGCATCTATGTTCATTTTAACTTCTTCATAACCAGGCAAAAACTCATCACAGAAGCTTTAAATTAGTCCTATAATTCATGATTTTAACCATAAACTCTGGGGGACATATATTTACTGAGATAATATTACGTATAAGAAGTCAGCTCTGTTTCTGGTCAGTTTTTAAATCAGTGTATATGATTTATGGAGTCTCCCCCTGCTGACCATTAGAAAGCATGCAGCTCACAGGCACTTAAGCATCAGCTCCACTTTTCGAACAATGAGGCTGAGATCATCGTATACTGCGATCACTCTATGGTCTATCAATAAGATAATTGTGAGTGTTAGCTATAATTCCACTGCATCCAGATCAATTCCTCTGCAGACAAAAACTGTGTTTTCAAGACGATAAACAGTCAAACCTCCAGATGAGGGACCGATTAATGCCTCTCCAGGCCAGGGGTCAAACATGAAGGTGATTTTCTGAGTGGAAAACAGAGCCCCACCTCTGTTTTTCTCAGTCTTGTTGTTGCTCCACACACAGCGGAAGGAGAAAGCAGGATTCTTTGGCCTGGCATTCTCTAAAAATAACGACGTCTTTTTTAGACAGCCATTAAAAACTTAACCCCACCCCCCACCCACAAGCTTCCAGTTTCCAGAGACACTTCTTCCCTCGCCTCTGCAGAAAAAAGGCCATCAAGGCCATCCCAAAGCCACATCAAAGCCTGCCAGCTGACAGGAACAGGAAGTTCCTCCTGAACACTGCGGCTTCCTGTTGTCAGCTGAGGTGACGGACACTTGTTTGAACTCCTCGCAGAAAAGGGGGCAAATGCCAGGCTGTCAGGCCTGGATGTTTAACAAACTCTTCCCCTCCTCCGGCAAGTGCTAACGTAAGCGAAGTCCATCCATCTTCATCTCACTGACGGCAGCCGTTTTTCAGAGCTGACTGTATCAACATTGTCTGAGTTATTCCTGACCTGGGAAGTTGGAGGGTCAGGCTCCATGCACAGCCTTCACACTATGCAGCCCTGCACGGGCACTCAAGACCCAGTCAATGGAACTGAGCTATGAACCTCTGCTTTACCTTAACATACAGCAGTGCTTTGTTTGGCTAAATGTGTCCTCTCTGATAACAGTGCCTGGTTCAAAAGAGGAGACTCACCAGATCCTTGAAGAGTCCTTTCAGCTGCTTGGCTTCATCCTGCAGGCGGATCGCCATCCTTTTCCTCATCTTGGAGGATGTGCAGATGACCCGTCCTCGCATTATGGCTCTTATGTACTCCACCAGGACCCTGCGGTGCACCTCACCCACCAGAGTCTGTCAGCCGATTGTAAAAAAAAAAAAACTGAGTGACGAAAATTGTTGGACAGTGTTCAGATATGAGATTCACTCTGTCTGCACTGGAGTACCTGATATGGTGGAGAGTCCATCCTCCTGAACTTCTTGAAGTGATGTTTGATGCTGGCTTCAATAGCCTCAAACGCCTCTGTGTTGTTCAACCATTTTCTTTTGATCAACTTGTCAAAGAAGGGCTGCAACGACAACAGACCAACAATGGATAAATTACAGTGTAGCAAAGAAAATAAGCACATAATCACGGTACTGCATTTGCATAAACTTGAGGTACTTGTTTACTGACTGCAGAGGAAAGTGACTGACTCTGTGGAAATGATTCCTCAAGTACCTCGATTACAAAAAATGATTGGGTAATTTTCTCTGCCCCAAGTACTCGTTTACAAACTCAAATCGTCATTGTTTGGCACAGACTATTTTCAAGGTGACACGACGCGCTTACGTCACCACAGTAGAAGGAGTAGTAACGAGATTTTGGTTCTGCGGAGTGTAAAATATGAATGATGAGAGGGGTTTTTCTTTTGCACAGCTCCAGTAGCTCATTAGCAAGTCGCATCTGAGTCGTGGGCAGAGACAGCGCTGCTCTGCACACTCCTCCTCATGCTGGCTTGCAGCCTAACATTGCCAGTGTAGTAGAAGTAGCAGGTAACATAGAAGCTATTCAGCTCTCTTACACTAATGTCTTTAGGGACATGATGAAAGTTAATATCATAAGAAGTTTTCTTATGAGTATTGCAATTCGCAACCGCACATGCTTGTTCCGCTATTGTTCCCCGATTGTTCTGCGATAATTGTTCTTTAAAAGAGAAAAAAAAAAAAAAAAAAAATCCAATTAATTAATTGATGGAGTATTCGGTAGAATACTCGATTACTTAAATCTAGACCTACATCAAGCGGTGCATCACCTCTTTGAGTAATGTTATTGTAAATACACAATGGTTTCAGAGTTCATCTATAAATTGGGATGTGACTGAGGTCTGAATTCATTGCATAAATGTATTAGCATCCTATTTGGCTCATGTAGGTTCACTGTAGTTATGCTTTTTCAGTACCCGTTTTAAAATCTGGTTTCAAACAGAATTAAAATATCTAAATATAGCATATTTTGATATGCTTTGGATTTTAACAACACAAAACATTCTGAAACTGTCCCACCTCTGTGTTCTGGTTTCAGACCACACTGGTGCAGCAGAGCAGCAGTCGTAAGTGTGTGAAAAAGACACTTGACTGAAAGGTGAGTTTACATGTTGAGCTTCTTGTGCTTCTGCAACATCATGGCCACTGACTGCAATGCTCACAGTACATTTCCACCAAGTGGGCCAATTTAGTTACAGTTTGGTCTAAGGTCTAAGTTAACTTTTTATTATTATCTGAGCATGATCAGTGTACTTATTTTTCTGTGTTTGCTATGCTGATCCTTTGTTAACACTGCAAATTTCCCCATTGTGATTAAAATTGAACCATGATGTATTATGGTACATCAGTTGACTGAGCCCCTACATTAGGGTACACTAAGAGTTATTGAGTACTGATCTGAGCCTGACTGTTTTGTGAAAACACAGCTACATACCAAACTCTTACAGGGTGCAAGTTTACAGCACAAATGCATCATGGCGCTGTGTCTGAATCTCAGTGCAAAAAGAGCTCAGGTGATTTAAGTCCATCAGTCACAGAAATCTCATTCAGTGATCCTGCCCATGGTGTAAATCTAGTTAGATAAGAGCTACTCACCCTGATGTGCTCAAACAGTCGGTCACACAGCACCCTCACTGATTGGTTGATGATCCTGTCCAGGGACGAGTTTGCTCTCTGGGCTGACTCCTCGCTGCCCTGTGGGTCACACTGCCTGCAGCGCTCCACTAAGGATCTACAGTAAGTACATGAGTAATTGAACTCACTTTTTCACTGAAATACTGCAGCATATTGAAAAGGCATAATGCCAATTAATTAAGGTAAGAAATAATAAGTGTTTTCAGACCTGAGAGGAGGACAACAGTTGACCAGAGCGATGGTCCTGGAAACGTATCCGTCCCCTCGATCTCCAAACTCTGCCTGAGTCTCATGAAACATCTCAGCTTTCCTCTGGAAACTGAAGACACATGTTTAAGAAAAACACACTGTTTTCATACCAAGACAAGACCAGTGTACAATGATGACAACTGACACACTTTTCACCTGCTTACATAGATTTTGTTTTAACCTTCTGTACATCAATACATTAGGATTCTTTTGTGCAATTTATGTTTTTTTACAAACACATTTCTTTTTCATAAAGAGATTTAAAAACTCTCTAAAAGCATGTACTCACTTGTAGAGAAAATCTGCGAGTCCAATGAGACTACAACGAGCCACTCTGGCCCCAAGAAACTGGTTCACAGATGTGGATCTGTCCAAGTCCACCTTTATTCTCTGGAATTATAACAGACATGATCAATAAGACAGCTGTATCCTTAAATAACATCCCAGAAGATGATAAAGAGCATTTAAGTGAAACCAGGAAGTGATGTACCTGGATGACTGAACGTGCCAGGTGGGACTGAAACTCCTCTATATGCAGAGTTTGGGCCCATCGCCTCTCCTCCTCATCCAGAAGCTGAATCAGCTCCACAGTCACCTTCTCCTGAAAGTCACAGCATTATATTAGATTATTATCTTATGTAGAGGCTGGATTTGGAAGTGGACATGGCCTAATCTTTTACATTTTGACACTTCATCGATTTTAAAATGACACATTTTCTTGCATTGGGATCAAAACCTCAGTGAGGGTCTCAGGATAATTTCTGAGAGTGGATTAGATGGTTGTGGGTTTTAAAAAATGACTTTAAAAAATCAAATGCTGTTTCAGACTGGCAGCATGTTTGCTGCATGACGGCTGAAGTGGCTCTAGCTTATACCCTGACTACTTTGTGACACTTTTTCTGTGTGTCTTCAGCCAGCAGTGCCTCTCACTGTTGTGTCTGTTTTATCTGTGCTGTCTCTGCCAAAGGTCAGCTGAAGTTTGTTGTATTTATGGCAACGACAAAATGCAAAATGATTGATATAATGTTATTTTGATATCCGTGATGCAGATTTTTCCAAAGTAAAGTCGAGAGATCTCTTACTCTGACAATACTGATGCAGTCTTGCTCCAGCCGGTCCACTGTGTTTTGGGGCAGGATTGGCTCCAGTGGTGAATAACTGATTGGTGTTGTTGTACTAATGGTTCCAAGGACATCCCTGGAAAAGAATTACAGGTCGTTACTCAAGAAGTTCAAGTTTGTTGCCCAAGTGTAATACATCAGTATTGCATTAGAGCATCTCAGTCTGGTCGGAGCACTCTACCTGTTGTAGATGTTGTAGAACCAGTCCAGCAGTGAGTAGACGTCTGTGATCTGCAGTGGGCCGCTTGTGATGGTCCGCAGTCGTTTGGCCACAGCTCGATGGTAACTCTCCACATACACCTGGAAGGCGGCAAACTCCTCTGGATAAATGGACACAGCATTCCTCCTTGCTGCGTCCAGGTCATCCACCATCCGACTCCTCAGGCGCTCCAGATATGAGGCCAGCTGGCCCGCCTGGGTGTCTACTTGATGGGGTAAGCTCCAGTCTGCGGCCTCAGCCACAGCTTGCCTCCACTTCATCTTTAGCCGCCTGGGGCGGTGGCTGGGCTGAGTCTGGGGCTCCTCTCGCTCTGGTTTTGTTTCCTCTCTCAGGGCCCAGGCAGCATCAGCATGCTCCTCCTGTTGGATCACCAGCACCACCAACCCCAGGTTGGGCCCTGCACTCGGTTGGCGGAGGGACTCCCGCACTACATCCCACATCTCCCTCTGCAGGGCCTCGTACAGAAGCTCCACATCTTTAGCCTTACGCCTGCTTGAATCCAGTGTTGCATTGGAACTGAGGGATTCATCTAAGGATAAGGACGATAGGGGAATAATGCTGGGAGGGGGGCTGGGGCTGAGGGTAGAAGTGAGGCTTGGATTGGATGTATTGGGCAGGAGAGACAGCAGCTCACACTCTCGCTCCAGTTCCTGAATGTGTGTGTCGGCCAGGAGTAGGTCCCTGTGATTGACCAGCTGCAGGATCTCCAGCACTGTGAGGAACAAGTAGAAAGAAACTTTGTGAGTTTATTTGATAATTGCTCAGTTTTTGTTTCTAATATATGAAGCTGCTTTAAGTGTGCATAACTGATAAAACTATGCTATTTGTTGCTTATTCCTCCAGTTCCCTGTGGAGTCTGTGAACAGTAGCTTGGTTGAACGTCTATCTGGAGGAACCCGAGGCTGAGGGAAGTGCGGTCATTTCCTGATTTCACAGTCTGGTGGTGATTGAACCCAATGACTCAGGGACCTGGGGACCTCTCAGCCTCATCAGAGAGTCGTCCAGGAGCTGAAGGAAGTGCTGCTGAAGCCTAATCAGGAGGTTCAAGTTTCTCTGATATCACTCAAACTCCTGGTGAAGAAGTTTTCCCATCAAGCACCAGGTTTTGAGATTTGGTTGCTGATGTTGCTCTGAAAACAAGTGTTGTGAAGGATCGGTGGACTATGAAGATCATGTTGGGAGTATACGTACGTCAGTTGAGTTGTTACTTCTTCATAAAAAACTTTTAACACTTTTAACAGTGTTGTTGTTTTTTTAGCACTACCACTAGTAGTGTAGTAGTGTACTTACCACTAGTAAGTTTTTTTTTTCTTTGTAGCGATTGATAATGGAGAGATGCACTCACCAGCTCTGCAGTCCTGTCTGAGAGTCTAATATTAAAACATCCGTATTGTTCTGCCCAACAATATAGCATGCTAATGGAAACTAACGTCTTTGCCTTTGGTGCTAACAAGAAGAAGTACAGTATGTCAAAACTATTTATTGAGGATTGATTTGACATGATGTGTGTTCTTGGCTTGTCTCTAGTGTTGAGTTTTGACCAGTCAGCATCAAAGATTTAATGCAGCTTGGTAATCAGTAAGAAGTGTATAAAACATGCTTGTTCAATAGACCATAGTTGTTTGAAGAACCAGGCTGTCAACACTTATTGGATTTATGAGATTTGGTCATTTTGGTACAGACTCTAATTAGGATTCCTAGGCTTTTAGAACCAGCCTCTAGTGGATGCTCTAAGAACTGCACTTGTCATTTTTCAGCACAGAGGTTACTGCTTGGTGAAAATGTTCAACAGAGGATTTCAGAGCTTCAGGTTTGGGCTGCTGTGATATCTGTACTTTTACTAATCCATCACAGTCCAAACCAAGATCAGTCTCATGCAGATTGAACTTTTTAGATAGCAGGTGTTTTCTTGCTACCTGAGAGGGGCTCTCTGGTTTTCACCACTGGCTCCTCCTCCATGGTTTCTTCCTCGGCCTCTTGGGAGGACGCCTTATCTGACATCGACTCTCTCTTTAGCATGCCCAGACTGACCATCTTGAGGAAGGAGGGCCGCCTGGATGCTTCTACTTCACTGTCGATGGTCAGGTTTCCACATGGCAGGCTCTCTCTGCGCTCTTCTTTACGTCGACCTGTGAACCTGCACAGCACCAACAGCAGAGACAGAGGGCATGAATGTGTGCAGCCGCTGACCCCATGTTATGCATTATCTCTGCAGCAGCTCACAATAAGACTGCAGCTTTCATTGTACTGGACAGTTTGGCTTGTTAGCAGCTATGACTGGAATGCAACACATTCACACACCTGTTTAACTGAGTCTAAATATAGTCCCATTCAGCGAGTACACAACATGTCAGCGACAAACAAAAGAGGTTCCCAATGTCAACAAGTTACTATAACACATTACATAACTGCAGGAAATAAGCAGACTATAGGCTGTTCTATAATTGACCTACAACAGTGAGGTGGTCCCCTCCTAGACTCATGGACTGGCTCTCAACAGACCATTTTTATTGTAGGATAGCTTTAGGTCCTGTATCATTCGAGGGGGTGTTTTTGTAGTTTTTTTAAGGAATTCACTCACCAACCTAGAAACCTGCTCTTGTGCCTTGTGAAGATAAAGCTTCATCTTTACTGCTGACTCTTTTATTTTCATCTCAGGACTTCATCATGAGGGTAGAGCTGTTCTCTCTCTCTCTCTCTCTCTCTCTCTCTATCTTTCTCTCTATCAGCCATTTTCTGTTAAAACATGAATGTAGTCTCAGTAACATCATTGCTGTGACATGGAGCTTTTGAGTCCGTAGTGATAAGGGGTACCATAAGAGACAAAAGGTAGAGTTGAGGTGGGCCTTCAGCCATAGAGCTATCCAGAAGTTATCATCTCAAACAAATAAGAGTGATTGAGTTTACAAGAGACTGATAGTTTACATATTTATCCTCTAACACAATCCTAAACTCAGAGGTGATGCACCCAACCATGTACGGCTTCTTCAAGGATGTTTGACTCATCTCATAAAGCAGCTAAACTGAGACTCATCAAAAATGGGTAAAATATCAACTTTTGACAGTTTCAGTTCTGAAAATCAGCAAATTATGACACTTCATTTAATCAAGTAACTCATGCTGATTAACATTCTTCCTCCCTATAGTCTTCCTCACCGTAGCAGGGTCATAATCCCTTCTGAACTCCTGCGTAGTCCTTTCTTTTTCTCCTTCTCATGTGGCAGTGTGTTCGAGTCCCCGGGGCTGTAATGAGGGGAGTTGTGTCCCCACACATTGCGTCCTGATATACGAAGCCCCTTCCCCAGTTTTCCAAGGGTTTTCAGAGGTGAGGATCCACAGATCCGCTCCAGAGTCCCTCTAAGGGGTTTCCCTTTAGGGTTTCCGGCCCCATGCCTCTCTGCGTTCACCTCGTTTTCCTCCTCTTCACCATCACGGGAGGACCTGAGATGGAGGTTACCCCTGACCTCCCCCATGATGAGGCCCACATCACCCCCATTCCTCTCATCATCATCATCCAGGTCCACATCATCAAACGGATTCAGGCTCTTGTTCAGGTCCTTCAGGTCGTTAAGTTCCTTCAGATCATTCAGGTCGTTCAAGTCCCTGAGGTCCAGGTCCAGCCGGGGCAGGATCAGCTCCCCGTTGACTCTGGGGAACTCGTGGCAGCTCTTGGACCTTCCTGGAAGTTTTTTCAGGATGGGCATGGTGGCGACAGATTTTTTTAACAAACTGTAACACAAGGAAAGAGTCAGATTTAGCTCTTTCTTTGATAAAATGATCAGAGCGTTCAAAAGTTTCCCACTTCTGCGGCTGAGAGTCTGAACTATTTCAAACCCTGAATGACAGACAAGAGAGCACAGATCACAGATTTCACACTGAAAACTGGACTTATCATGCTCGGAAAAAAGGTTGTTTTTTGTTGTTGTTTTCATACTCGTGCTCCGCTCATCATCCACCAAACACTTTATATAACCAGAATCTAAAACATCCTCTCTCATGGTTATGCAACACACTTCACTACACAAATAAGGAAGCATGTGCTCAAAATAAAGCTGTGATTACACATGCTGAAGCATGGCTTTTTGTAAACTAAACCTGACGTACCAAATGATGTAAAACAAAGTATGAAAGGACACACCTGTAGCTTAATGATCAAATATGTCATGTCTTTGCCTGCACAATCTTTGTATAATAACGTTGAGATTGAAAAGGATCACATGAACAAGTGTCTGAGGGAAATAATAAGGCTTCATCAAGTTTAATCATTCTGTAGAATCTGATTTTCCAAATTTACAAAGTGACATTTCTTCGGTTTTCACAAATAACCTTTGATTATTATATCTATGTCCTTCTCAATATAAACCAGATCAGCCATTGTTTCTGTTGTTTTCATGAGGACATTTCAAACTTGTAAGATTAAAATGTTTTCCTGGTTTCCTTGTTTCAACATATATCTAATAAACAACATGATGTTAAAATATGGTGTTGACATGTTCAGGGGGCAGCTTCTTTATAATTTATCATTTCAAGTTCATGAAATGTTAGGATCAGTGAACATACTGAGGGTTTGATTTATTTATCCAGTTATAACAGCTCTTATTAACTCATTCAGTGTATTATAAGAAGCAACAGTATACTGTATTTCTGATTCTCTGCGGTGCACCAAGGTCATGCTGTATCACACTGCAAGTATTAATCAGACACTTCCTTATTATAAATGATGGAAATTATGACATCTTATAATGCAGTAACTGAGTTTTTTCCTAACTGTTTACTACTAGAAAAAGTTGTTGTTGGAGTTACAGTGTATTCTAAAACCCAGAATTCAATTGACACTGTTAGATTTTCTTCGAAGTATGATGGTTTATAAACCGACTTTTATATGGCATTATGTTCACTGCATATAACATTTCATAAACTTGGCTATAAGTCAGTAAGGATGCTTATAATTACTTTTCAGGATTGGTATTAAGCCTTAAAAAGCTTTAGACATGTGCGTATGATGCACTACAAACTAAAAGTCCCTCCCTGAAGTACATTAAAACCTTTTTTAGTCTTTGAAAAAAAGATGAAGAAAAGAAAAGATTCCTTTTTTAACCTCCTGATTAATAGAGGAAATCTCTAATATTTAAAGTCTCTTAAGACAATTGAAGATACTGAACTGTAGGAAAGGCTCCCCATTTTTAAAAGAAAAGAAATGAGAACTTTGAATTTCTGTGTAATAGAAGAGAACAGACTTGGGAATTGTGCAGCTCTCACATTTGTGCTATACCATCTTCATTTAAATTCCTGCACCAGCTGTGTTAACATTTAATGAAAGTGAACTGAGCTGCTTTTTCTTCAAATAAAAGAAATGTTGTTAAGAATTATTTCTGTGTACTACAAGCTGATGAAGAAACAGTTTTCATTGTCTGCTTGTGCAGAGGTGCCTTTCAATCTTAAGTTACAACAACCAGCACACTGGGCGAGGAAAACTCTGTCCGAATAAAGACAAGAGAACATTTCACAAAACTGGGTGAGAGTCCCTCGGACTGACTGCTGCAGTCTTAAATTTCCTCCTCATCTGACACTTGAACCTCGTTTCTGAATGAAGTCAATAACGGATTGATGGAAGAGTCTCTGCCTCCAACAATAACTGTTTCTATATTTCTCAAGTTTTTAGATGAAGTTAGTGGATATGAACTCAGTCTAACATTTGTGTCTAACATCTCTGGTCCCATCACTGTCCTTTTAAGGCAGTTCCTGTATTTCTGGTTTTCAAACAGAGCTTCAAAGAGACAGCACTGAGATTTTAACCTTGAAATGGGACAGGATTTGTTACATCACATCAGGCTTTGTACACAGGACGTGGTGATGTCTACTGTCCCCCACACATTGGCACCCACAGGAAGGTCTGCCGACACTAGGACTGACAAATTTCTGAAATGCATGGTATGTGGATCTGATTACACAGTCCTTTGGGCCTACATCGAAGTATCTGCAGCCACTTTTATAATCCAAAGATAACGGACATATTCTTACATTAGCACTACAAAAACTCAGAACTGAGCAGTTTTTGTCTTATTTCTAATTAAAAAAAAAAGTCTAATTAGACTTCATATGAGCCACATTTACCTGACAGGCCTTATTTCTTATTTTAGGATGTTGCAGGTTAAAAATATGACCTGGATTGGTTGTTATGAATAACAACAGTCTTTACTTGGCAAGTAATTTTTTTTCTTTTTTTAAACTTTTGGTAGATATTTTTGACTGATCAAAATAGATTTGGTCCTTACTTTAAACACAAAGTAAGATGTTCGATGTGGATTTGTCAGGTGTATGGGGTCAGCAAGACATTTTTTGAGCTTACACAAAAACACTTTCTTTTTTCCCTTTTTCCCTCTTAGTCGGTTTCCTTCCCTCAGTTTGTAAAGCTTTCCTTGAATATCTCTTACATTAGTATTTTTGGTCTTTACACAGGTTCAAACACACTTATTTTCAAGATGAATAATTCCTTATCCTGCTGCAAGAACACTAAAAACAAAAAGGAAAAGTCTTTGTTGGAAAAATGAAATTAAAGCCCTTTTGGTGCAGAAAATGTTTATGTGCACAGCTTTGGTTGGAGAGTAGTCTGCCCTTTTATTTAAGTGTTATCTCTCATTCATTATCTTATTCTATTCCTCCGGCTGTTAATATTCATTTTTTCTTACTATCATGGCTACATTTTCCTAGAGTTAAATGAAGTTTTGCAGGCTCTGATTTTAAAACCAATGTCTTTATACAGTATTATGTTCTATACATAAAAAGTAAATAGGCTTGATTGGCCTTTTCATTTTTTCAAAAGATCATTGCTACTTCAGTTTTTCTTCCAAACATTTTCACTCAGATAAAGTTTAAAGACAGTAAATCTGGAAAATGAGTTAAAGCTTCTGTCAGTTTTTTTTTTTTTTTTTTTGCCAGTTATAAAAACAGACCGAACACTTGATTCCACAGTGTAATCAACGGAAGCTTTGACAAGTAATATTTACTCATTTTAATGCCTGAAACTTGTTTGAGGTGGTAGGTGTTCTTCTTATATTAATACTCGTAAATAGAGACACATTAGATTGTCAATATTTAGCAGGATGAGGGGTTGTTGCAGAAACTCTACTTAAACATGGGGAAAATGAGAAGCAAAAGTGACAGAGGTGACACAAACCAAAAGCCCCTCTCAGGACCTTTGAAGATAACTAGATATATGAATGCTTGAGACTTAACTGATCGAGAATAAATGCATTTAAAGCTCTTGTCAGGAGTTTATTTTTCATGTTTTTGAAATAGACTAACAATCTTTAATACTTTAAATAGGGCCATGTCGCCTTTAATGCCTCAAACTTGAATAAGAGGGTAGGTGTCAGACCTGTTGTTTTCATTTTCCACATGAAATATTTACAATAAATGACTGAAGTCAGCAGGATGAGATTTTTTTTCTTTTTTTTTTTATCAGAAGACCCTACCTTAGCAGATATAAGACAAGATAAGAAAAGACTGCTTTGTCTGAGAGGGGTGGAAAAATTGACACAAACCCAAACTTCCTCCGTTAAATAACTTTCAAACTCTTTCTCTGTGTGCATCTACAGCTAAAGAGGGAAAATGTTTAAATTCTACCTTTCTAATCGTGGATTTACATGATACTTAAGGGTTGTGTTTCTATCTTACGGTTCAGTACAATCTCCACCGTGTTTCCTCATGAATCAAAACATGAACTCTGTTCTTCTCTTTATCTAAATCCTGCAAGGAAGAGTTTGTGTCTCTGCTTTCAGATTATTCTACTTTTGTATAAAAAAGGTAGGTAAAAATGTTTGTTAAAGGTTAAAGAGAAAATGAGTAAGAATTGGTGAATGTTTCACATTTTTTTCACCTTTTTGAAAACAAAATCTATTTTTTCCCCCTCAAGCTCATGTCAGTTTTTGTTGCTTTTTTCATTTTTGTCTTTACTGGTACATGTGTGCAGTCATGTAAAGCAAAATCCCTCCAAAATTAGATATAATTTACACCTGATACACAAATAAAATGATATAATATTATCTCTGACAGTGCATACTTACACACAGTGCATTTCTAACAGCTTTTACCTCACGTTTTTTCCCCACATTTTCATACAGTAAAGCTTTGTTTCAGGCAAACCTCATTACTCCGTCTGTTTTTTTCCATTTCTCTTCTTTTACTGTGGATCGGTTATCTGAGAGGAGTGCATGACAGGAAAACATTTGCGAATGGCTGTGAAAGAGTTTACGACCCCTCCATAGCAAAACACCTTCTTGAGCAAACAATAGGTGATATGAAGAGAGCAGACATCATTAAGAGGTCTTTACACAACAGGATGCTGAGAATGTCCCGTAATAATAAGCCTAGTCTGATTTCCCTCTATTACTAAATCAACAGGTTACACAATCTCTCGAAAGTCTGTCAGTGACTAAAACGGTGTAAAATCTATTTCAGGAGCACAAAAGTCTCAGCAGCCATCTCTTAGTGGAGGTCAAATGTACAGACCTGATCAATTCTGCAGAAAGTTATGAATATAAATAAACACTGATGTTAATGTTAACTCAGGATAACCACCCGTGAAAGAAACAACATATCCAAAGTCACAGGCTCAGACTCACCTGATGAGCTCTCCTTGCAGCAGTGTGTCAGTACAATGTCATCCTGGAGTGTGCTGTCTGTGCGGGCTGCCAGGCTGTGGAGTGTGTGCATGTGTGTGTGTGACTGATGAGTGTGTGAGCGTGTCTGAAAGTACTTGGTGACTCAAGAGAGCAATGTGGCAGCCTGCGGTTTCCTGACAGGCTCTATTGTGGTGGAAGGTGATATGTTTTCCTGAGGAAAGGCCCGTCCCGTCCTCTCTCCCCCATCCTACGCAACATGCCCCCCCATGAAACCCTCCCACAAACACACACCAACACACACCCGCACTCTGGGGACCCTGGTAATTGCACTAATTGCATTAACTGTGCAGCAGAGGGACAGAGAGAACAGAGCATTCTTCTGCAGAGTTTATGTTCATATCTGTGAGTCATATACTTCACTGTGTATACATGCATGCATGCATGAGTGTGTGAGTGATTTCATGAGGAAAATGAATGATGAGGATGATTCAGTGTCCGTGGCCTTGAATCCAGATTCCATTCATGCAGCGGCGGCAGAGAACTTTTCCTCAGCGGAAGACTTTAGAAGCTTTGACCTGAGCTGATGCTGCTGCTGCTGTTCTATACAGTCTGTGCCGTAGAGCAGCTTCAAGGTCAGTGCAGCCACACAGGACTCTGATGACACACAAACAGCAGATAAAACAACGGACGGATGTATAAGAGCAGTGTATGTGTACTGTCTCTCTCTCTCTCACTCACACACACACATATCTGAAGTTAAAGAAAATAATCACACAAAGCAACACATGAAGATGATGAGGACCCCTGCCCTGTGGATCAACAGCCCTTCATTCGGTGTGTAGCATCCCCTGCCCCCTAGTGGACTGCCTGGTGTACGACAAGAAGTAAAGTCAGAGGAAAACACAAGCAGCGTTAAACCTCCACTAGAAGTGACATTTTAAAAGTACATTATGTAGAATTTAGAAGCATTTTCCCAAACAAATGAAACACATCTGATTACTTAAAAACAGTCTTTTATATTATAGAGGCAGCAAGTCCTCTCTCTGGAGGCTGTTCTGCCACGTTTTCTACAGTGGCTCAGATAGGACAAACTAGCAGGAACCAAAGGGGTATTATTATGACTGGGTGGCTGCATAAGAGACACCCCAGCAGGAGAACAGAGGACCAGATCAACTCTTGTTGTTGATAAAGTTTTTGATCATAAAAACTTGACAAATGAAGGATCAGAGTTATCATGAATCACTGGAAGGTGAATCTGAGTGACTCATAGTTAATGTCCAAAAAACAAAAACGTGAATCAATAAAACCTGATCAGAACAGGTGACAGCAGAAACCAAGGGTAAACATGGGTGTTAACTTTCATTGAGGAAAATCCTAATGACATATTAATGTTTGAAGATTGATGCTAAACTTGTCAGTTTTCTGCTGTAAGGGTAAGGGGGGGGGGGCTTTCAGGGATCATAGACTGTACTATGGACAACTTGGCTCCGCCTTCCGTCAATATACGAATTTGAAGCTGAATTGCTCCCGGTATTTCTGGGATTTTCTCCACTTCCTGGAACCATCACTTGCGCAGTAGCGTTGTACGCATTCCGCGGGAGAGTTGCCGAGAGTTGCTGTGATGATGCTTGGCTCAAAAAGCGTATCTCCTGGGTGAGCTGTGCAATCTTCAGGCTCTTTGTTCATGCCTCACCGGCTGGATGGCGTAGGTGTGGCGTAAGTCAGGTCCGCCGCGCCCAAGTGCACTTTGGTGTTTTGGTGAGCGGCGCAGCCTGGCTTAAGTATCCACCCTCCCTAACTCAGCTCCTCCTAGTGGTGTAAGTCGGAAAGAGGGAGGGGAGCAGGCGTGGAGTGGATTTAACACAGCAGAGTGCTGTTATCACCAGTCACATCAGCTCCTCTCCTCACCTTTAAATCCGCCACTGGTGAGGCGTATTACAATTTTCGTGGAGTAGTCAAAGAGATCAAGAGATCTCACATGTTGGAGACAGTAAGTGGCCGCCCAACAAGTGTTGCGGTAAGCGCTGCAGAGGGCGTCCTCCACACTCTCTCAAATAAGCACAGATGGGATTTTGCGTGTGTAAGGTTGTAACCACTGGTAAGACAAACACCCATTTCCACAAGTAAAGACAATCACATCAAGTTGCACCCCACCTGACAAAGGTGGGTTGTGCGCACAGATCACAGCATAAACAAATTCCAATAATGGCATTAAAATCGGAACCACCTGTGCGTAAATGATGCATTGCGCTCCATGGCCTGGCCTTTCTTTTATAGATGTTGGCATATAAAATAAACTCACGCAACTGAATATTATAATATTGGTATGTAGGCCTAACTCCAGATTGGATATTCACAGAATTTTAAGGATGTGAAAACATCAGGTTATTTTGAATGAAAGTATCTTTTATTTTTTAAGTAAATAACTCATCTGATCACTAAAATAAATCTTCTGGTCAGCCTTGCCACCGCAGCAGCATCAGGACAGGGAGAGGACACAGAGCCATGTCTGGGTCGAGCTGCGCAAGAAACAAGAGAAGAGGAAGGGAGAAAGGGGGCGAGGGACAATTTAAATATCTTGTTAACTTCATCATGTGTGACTATTGACTGGATAATTAATTTAATGCGGTTTCAGCTGTGTTCTTTTGGTCAGGTTAAGTGTCCAAACGCATAGCAAATACCCTCACCAGATAAGATATAGATCAGAATATATCTATATAGATCTAATGTGCTCATTAAGATAGTTGCACTGAATATTGGTTGTTGATTATTTATTGCACTGAAATGTGCCTGACACTGTGGAAACCTGCTGGTGAGGCATCGGTGACGTATGCGCACTACGCCACTGGTCTAGCGAAATACCACTAGACCAGCTGCGCTCCGCCTGCGCTGAAACCTGACCAGGTTTGAATCGGCAAGCTTTCAGTGCACTTCTCACGCCACAGGTGGGCACAAAAATATCACAGCGCCAGCTGATTCTGTTGACACCTCCCCCTACCACGCCACCGCACCCAGCTTGGCAGTCCTCGGTGCGCCTCAGTCTACCAAAATACCAAACTGGCTGTGTGTCGGGCTCCGCCAGACGAAAATACCACTGCGCAGGGTGCGCCACCCTTTGTACGCCACCCTTTGTACGCCACCCTTTGTACGCCCATAAGCTGTATCAAGTTACAATCACAGAAAACATGAACCCCCAAATAACTTTTAAAAATGGAGCTGCACAGAAAAAAGAGGACTTGAGCACAAACCAGTCTGACAGTAACTAAATGTCAACATCCCAACTGAGGGGAGAAAAAATAAATAAATTCTGTGTAATTAATTTCTAAAGTTTGTCCACATTTCCATAGGGATTGCTGGAGGAGGCAGGATTTATGACCTATACTGCAGCCCGTCACCAGGGTGCTGTTCTCGCGGTGGCTTCACCGAGGGAGGAGGCAGACAGCGTCCATTCTATACAGTCAATATTAGAGACACTTAAACCAGATGCTCCACAATCCTCATTTTGTTACAGATAGCTGACTGCTCACTGTTAACCAAAACTACTACTTTACTCTCAAAACATGATGACTTTATTCTTCTAATATTATGGCTTTAGGACAATTTTATTTTGTAAAAAGATTTTTTGTAAATTTATGGTGTTATTTACTTTCCACTTTATTCTCATAAGATAACCTTTCTACAACTACTTTGCCCTCATACTCTGTTGTACATAGAAAATGGCTTTGTTGAGCATTACTTTGCTAATGTCAGCTTGTTTTATTAAAACAATGAAAAATTCAACTGACTTTCCAGACCTGAGCTATATACTATATCTACAGTGATGTCTACAGTGATGGCCTTTTATCACCCCAGCTGTTTGATGTTTTAAGTAAATGTGTTTTTCTATATGTATCTTATCAGTCCTTCTGTTCCGTGTTTGATCTAATCACTGACACTCTAAATGCTTCTGTCAGTTTCACCCTGTAATGTTATGTGGCCAAACCCGTCCTCAAAAGGTTCCTAATCAGTGTGCTGCATATCTGTTTCTTCTTCTCCCTCACACTGTAACCAACACTAACACTGAGCACATGGACAGAGGAGAGTCTTCAATAATGCAACAAAGCAGGTTTTGTGTCAACAGAACCACAAAAATCGAGACATAACTTCTCTCTAAGGATAGTCACCATGCATTTAGAGCAGTAACATACTTGACAATTTCATGTATGTTATAAATAAAAAGGTAGCAAATTGTAATAAGGGCTCAAGCTTTATAGGTGCTACTCCCTGAATGAATCTCACATTAAACAGATGATTTAATTTGTCAAAACCTACCACAGATAACGTTTTAAAATGGGGTTAATAATGTTGCTCAGATAAAAAAGAAATTTAACACTTCAATAAAAATCTATATATACTTATATTTAAATTACTCTGAGTATGAGGAACTTTTGTCCCTTTTGTCATCCCTGTGTACAAAGCAGTCTTCGCTTGTTTTGTCCTCTGAAGTGCTGTGCAGTGACAGTGATCTAGCTCAAAGTGTACACATAAAAATAAACACGGTTACATGTTATGGAAGCTTATTGCATTCACTTAAAAAAAAAAACAACAACTAACTTTTGTAACTGTAAATTGTTTGCTGTTTTTTTTGACTATTTTTTTTCTTTATGTTATTTGGACAAATTTTACTCTGTTTTCCATACTATTTTTTTTTCGTCTTTCTGTTTTTCTGACTATTTTTTTTCCTGACTAAGCAAGGTACTTCAAAATCCTGCTACAATCTAATGCAGTCAGATAACATGAACCACCGCGGCTGCTCCAAATCAGCGGATTCCCCAGCTCCTAGATAACTCTGACGACGGAGTCAATGAAATTTAAGCATGTGTGTGAGTTAAACACAGGGTATGCAAATCCTGAGACGCCTGCGCAAAGTGGACAAACTTGCAATGGTTCCATTTATCTGACTTAAAGAAAGGAGTATCTCCCAGCGTCTTAAACCCCAAAAGAAAGTAAAACTTGATTAAACTAAAAAAGTGAGCCATGTTTGCTTCCAAGGCAGAGGGGAATGGAAGTGTCTGTTTTTAAATGATCATGATCCCAGAAAGAAAAAAAAAATGTCTGAAAAACAAAAACAAAAAAATAATACTTTAAAGACCAGAACTAAAAAAATTACTCTAAAAAACAAAAAATGTTTGGGTTTTTTTTCATTTGAAGTGTACTTTTAAAAGTAGAAAGAAAACAAAAATTGTTCACGTTCATTTTGTTCCATCTGCACCAAAATTTCCTATCAATAGAACCTCATCGACTTCAGTTCTTGATACTCTATTGCTGACATTTCCTAAACAGAATTGGACAGATAGTTTTACTTCAATAAATTTGTGTTCTGCTAATTGAACATGGGAAAAATCAACACCTTTGAAGACTTAGAAACTGACTAAAGGTTCCACCTTTTGACCCAAATACATGAAAAATCTGCTTTGCAACTGTGAAAATATTTGAAAATATAACTTATGAATGTTGTTGCTGATGGTCTTCTTGTGTTTTGCATGTCATGAAAAGGCATCAAAATGAATTTCAGCCCATTTCTGCTTTCAATTGCATGTCACCTAAACCTATTGAGGCTAAAATACCCCATTAATATTATACACTGAAAGTTATTCAGAGGACACTTTTTGTCTTAATTGTACAGGAGGAGCATCCGGATGTCTTATACCCTGAAAGTGCATCAAAATTGTGCTTTTCCTCATAATTCATACTTGAGGGAAATCAAGCAGACAACATTTTTACCTCATATCCACTGGAAGGGCATCTAAAGGGTGATGTTTTACATTTTACCCAATGAGACAGTATTCAGCAACTTTGACATAATTCACATACTGTAAATACATCCTGGCTTTAAAGGTAGGCCCAATCAGACCCTTAGAATTAAACAAAACACAAAACATGTGACCGCAGAGAATAAAAGTTTATTAGTAGTTTCTGCAGTGCTATCTGCAGACTCTACATTACGTGAACAAAAACTGTAAAAACACATCACAACAACAGAAGGACAGTGAAATATTAGAAAACTCTGTTATGTTGTGTTATCAATGCAACACTTTCAAGTCTCGCACACTGCAATCTGTGTCCTGTAACCATGACAATAAATACTTATTACCACTACAATAAAACAGATGTTGCAAAACTAATGTGCATCCAATCTAGTGGTGTTAGATGAAGGTGGTGCAGCCAAAACGTGTTTAGCGAGAGACTGTAACCATGTCACAGTTCAGTTCAGTGTAAAAAGTGTGTACAGTAGATGATGAGAGTCAGATATTGAATTTGTTTAACACAGAGCTGTATGTAAGTGATTTTGTCAACCACAAACATCCACCTGATATTATTAGTTGGTGTCACAGCCTAATGCACAACTAAACTACAGTGTGAAGGGTCATGTGTTTGAAGCTGAAATTTCTGAGTCTGATGGAGCTACTAAGAGTCAAACGTTTGATAATTATGGGATTTTCCTCCTTTTCCTTTTTTTTTTTTTTTTTTTGTTGAACTATGAGAATGTGACCTGTTTTTTAAGGACAAGCTTTCTTTGGCCCATTGTCATTATTATCAAAAATCTATCACAAATGGGAACTAGCACCTGGTCAGAGGGAGATTTAGTCAGTAGCTGCTAGTTATGCATAAAAACTAAATCAGTAAGAGCTGAGGACTCAGTCAGCCTGACTGTTGGCAACAAAATCTTTATACCAGCACCTCGTAACTAACTAATACATACTTCATATTGTCCTGATAGGTGAAAAAACTACAGACTGTATAAAACATGGCTGTAATCTCAGTGATAGCACCCACTGCTTTCTGAAGAGGCATTATGACACACATTAGCCATATTAGGAATGGTGAATTTATCTACCTTTGAATACAAACTACAGAGCATGATCTATTTATTTGCCCCTGTGATGAGGTATAATGATGAAGCACAGAAAGGTTTCCTTATAAACATACCACTTAACCTAAACAGTAACAAGCAGAGGAAAACAAACTGGTAGTCTGCTATCTTGGTGCACGCACAATACATACAGACAACAACAGTGCAAGTAAATCAGTGTTTCCTCTGACCTTCATTTCTGCTGTCTTATGAATATGACTGAGCTGACTTTTCAGATATTTTCAGAATCCACATTTTCAGTGACCTAAAGCTCTGTTCACGTCGAAGGAGAGGTCAAGAAGCAAAGGAAAAAAACGTTTTCAGAAGTGGCGTGCACATGACCTATTCTAGTTTCTGAAATGTGCAGACATGACCTTGGCCAAGAGATGCATTAGAGTGTTTCTACATCACTGAATATCTTACCTATTGCTCCCATGTCCTACACAGAGAGAGGCAGACAGCAGTCAGAAGTGAGCCTGTTGCTTTCTTCTCCCATAGCTGGAAATGAGGTGGACGTGCTACACTGGCAAAGCCATGTTGATATCTAAGAGTACTAAGCTCGCAATAAGCTACAAAGGTCTCGTTTTCTCTGATTTCTGTTCAGCTGAAGTTTGTGTTGTCCTCTACAAATTATACGTAGAAATTAAAATTGAGGATACAGGTGTTAATCATTTATACAAGAGTATGAATAACCAGGTTTGTCTCTGTGCATCTAAACCCCATATGATCTAGAAAAGGCTCATAGCCAGGGCACTCAGGTCCATGTTAATGCAGACACTATCTTAAAGTGTGACTTCCATGTGCTCTGTAGCTGTAGTTGTAGTCCATACATGAAGTATACTAACATTAAGTCATTATGAATACATGTAAATGATCCCGCTGTCATGTTTTTGCATTAAGCATGAGGCAACCTTGATTCATCACTGGTCTGGACAAAAATTGAAGGGAGTTGGTAGGTAGATTTTGTTTCAGGAGTAAATGTGCTGACATGATATCTGAGATATAATCATCTTAAACCATTTTTGCATGTGTGCATGTGTGAGTCTGTGTGTGTTTCTGTGTGTTTGCTTTATAGGGTCTGGTTCTGTCCTCTGCTGTGGTGCATGTGATGGTGTGGGTTGTTGAAGTGGTACGGCTCATGGCGGTAGTGGCTGTGGCAGATGACTGGATGCTCGATGCCCTCGCTCTGCAGCTCTTCCTGTTTGTGGACTCCCTCCAGCTTCTCCACCAGCTCCCTGATGAAGGCCTGACGAAGAGGAGCAAAGCATGCAGAGTCACAGAGAGGAATGAGGTTAAAACTGCAAGAGAGTTTTTTGTTTTTTTATTTGTCAGAAATATTACAGTGCAGCTGGGGTCATATATCACTTTCCTTGTCCAGACAAGGGTTGTCAAACTATAACTTTCAAAACATGTTTAAATAATTTGTAAAAAACAGACATTTTCGGAAAAGAAAACATTTCTGTCATTCAAGTCCTGTCGTGGGATTCACAGTGTAACTGGGCTGTAAAGGGAGGGATTAATGGGTTCATCAGAACCACTTGGCCAAACATTGATCAGAGTGGAGCAATGACCCTGCCTCAGAAAAGTTAGGTGTCACTGTTTCTCCAGCTCTTTTTGTTGGCTGTTTAAGTGTTTACATAAATTCATAAAGACCTCAGAGAGCACAGGGTCTCTGAGCTCCCATCCTTCTGCTGTCTGCTGCTGCCAAAGCAAAAGTTGTGCTGTTACTATTCTGTTTGAACAAAATAAACTAAAATAAAATGTTAAAAACAAACACAGATCTAACTGCCAAATATCACATTTAACTGTTAAAGAAACAAACTTTTAAATATGCAGAGAGGAGGTTTGTGAAAGGAGCAGCTCCACTCTGACTGTAAGCGTGCTGGACTCTGGACTAATGTCTTTTCCTTTTATAGAAACTAATCTGCAGTATTTGTTTAGGTGAATTCCACCCTCAGCAGTGGCTGGTTTTATTCAGACTTTTTCACAATAAACAAAGATTTTCAAGTGGGGAGCTGAAATCTCTCATAAGTATGCTTATTGAGAAATCTAATGCGATTTTGCCTTTTTTTTAATGGATAGCACAGGGTGAAATGTGGGGAGATAGAGAGAGAGGGGGGAAGACATGCAGCACATGGTTGCAGCCAAACTCGAGCCCGCATCCTCTGCGGGGACCGTGGTCCCCTTACATGGGGCACGCTAACTCACTCGGCCATCTGCGCCCCCAGATTAGGCACTTTTTAAAACTGATGTTCAAGATTTATTCTGAATTGAAAATGTGTTATAGCTTAAACCTTTTCAAGTAACTAATCAAGTAAACATGAATACTTTTTAGTCTTTTTATGTTGTTTTTTTTTGTTTTCAATTTTAATTCAATTCTGTAACTCAAGCACATTTTGACAAAGCTGGTAAAAAGTAGCCTAAAAACCAAGACAAAATAAAAGTAATACAAACAACCATTCAACGAGGCATTGGCCTCCTCAAAGTAGTTTTGGTTGCAGGGCTGATGATATTGTAAATCTCAATATAATCAGAAATGGATGAGGACATATGAAGTAATTGTGTTAATAAGTTGCTTGTCTTCAATTTGACTGTGTACTTTTATTTTCATATTTTTCATAAATATTACAAATTTAGGGTTTGTATCCAGAAGCTCTGTTTGTGTCCAACAACAAGGTATTTCCCACGTTTTCTTTATCACACGATCAATGGATTGACTGAGTAGATGAGATTAGTCTTTTAGCCAGGTAGCAAACTGTTAGCTCTGCAGTCACGCTGCAGACAGTTTCTCCAAAATTCAAAAGTTCTATTTTTTTAAGTGTGTGACATAAAGAGGAGGCGGGTTCCTACATGTCATATCAGTCTTTTCATATCCAACATAGCCAAGATTAACGACACAGTGAAGATCATTCCAGATAAAAGAGCCTCCACTGATCCGGTGGTCCTTTCATCGGGGAATCTCTTTTCTTATTGGCTAATTTGCTTGAATTCAAATTTTTAACCCCCATGAACAAGCAAATGACACAAGCAGTGCAATGAACGAGCTGCAAATTTGTATCAGTTGTGTATAATTTGCTTAGTTTGTGTTTGTTATGCTGCCTCATTGCCGTGATTCTAATCCCTTCTTTACTTTGACTTTCCATGTAGCTCCCTTGTGCTAATGATTTTATTTACATTGGTGTGAATACATTATTCATGCACCACATAATGAAGCATGCTTCAGGAGAAAAAAAAATGTGGTTGCATAATAAAATACAGAATTAAAAACGGGAAATTCTGGAAATAATTCAAATAGCTCTTCTTGACTCATATAAAAAAAAACATCGCTCCTGCGATTTATTTTTCCCTTTGACCAAACTCAGAGTGTGTGTTTGGAACTCACCAGCCTCGCTGACTCTCCCTGCTCTTTTGCCTGTGTTTGCATCTCTGAGCCGACCACAGCGAGGTCGACACTGAGTCCAAAAGACTCTTTGTGTCTGTTTAAAATGTGAAGAGAAATGCAGTAGAGCACAAAAAGCCTCTGTCCTGGAGAGTGGAGTGACCGTAGGACGAGACGGCAGACCATCCCGCTACAGTTTGTCTTCACATGGCCAGAGACTGTGTATTTGTTAGTGTTTGTCAGTGTGTATTTGTTAATGTGTGAGCCTTCATGTTGTCTGAATATTTGCATGTATTGAGTGTGAGCTGGTGCTGGAAATACGTGAGTTCAAACATACCTCTGTGTTGTTTCTGCAGTTTTGAAGGAGCTCCTGTTAAAAAATAATAATAATAATAATTAAGATATTATCTTTATTTGTATAATTTAGGGGAAAAGAAATGTCCCCAAAACTAATAATACCTGTAACTTCCTGATTCGCTTCTCATCATCAGGTAGATCTATTAAACCGTCAATGTTCACCTCCTCTGGCATGTCGCCTTCCTGGAGCAAACACACAGACACACAGAATTAAACAGGGCCTAGATGCACAATCTTGGTGTCTATGGAAAAGTGATACCTTGTAGAATCTAGATCAAGTGTCAAAGATTAGTTGTGACTTTAATAATGCTAGAATGGTATCAGATAAATTACAGGAAAAAAATCCAAATTTTATCCCTGTGTAGAAAAAAAAAATGTTAGAAGTATAAGTAAACCCAATGTAAGTAAGCAGATGATGTGCTGGATCTGCTCTACAACATCTGACCTGCAATCCCTCCAGGTCTGGTGTCATAGAAATGATGGACAACAATATTACAGCCATTTTAGTCAGAAAAGCCTCAGGTGGACATCCGCTTTGGAGCCAAATTGCCATTTCAAATGAAACCATGGGATCTGTCTGTTAATTACTGCTTATTTCCTTTCTACAAGGACAACCACACATTATGAGGCAGTTCTAAATCATGTGTGTTGTAGTATTTTCAACTATTGTGCACAACACAAGACAATTACATAGAAAATGGTGCCAAATTGCCCTTCTGACAGAAACATGGGATCTAGATATGATTTTTACATTCAGTGTAAAAAAAGAAGAAAAAAAAGTCTAGAGTGTGTGTATGTGTGTGTCCGTGTGTACATGCATGTGTGTGCATGCATACTTGCACCCTATGTCATATAGTACAGTTTGAAGCAGTTCCTACCCTGGACCAAACAGAGAAAAAAAAAAACCACTTGTGTTCATTCTGTTAGCTTGCTTTTCACTCACGACGCTCACTTGCAGCACTGTATCCAAAAAGTCTGTGTCTGTGTGCCTGTGCACGCCAGCCCCCTCGTGACAAAGACACTGAATGACTGACAGGAGGTTTCACTAACTCCGTTCATTCCGCTATAGAGCCAACGCCCCCAGGTGCCGAGAACAACGCGCAGAGTGAGACCTCTTCTCTCATCCAGCGTGTTTGGTAGCGAGAGAGGAGGAAAACAAACGCACGCCAATTATCGAGGCTGGCAAAGTTATCGACCTCGTTTTTATTTATCGAGCGATAAGGCGATTTATTGATTATCGCGACAGGCCTAGTTGTAGTCTTTGATGGGTTCAGGGATTGGGACAGACTTCCTGGATCAGCCACTAGCCTCCTTTACTCTACGCATCACTGAGTTCCCACTGTAGGCCTTATGTATCGTGCTGCATGCAGTCACCTCTCATGTCTTTCCGCTTAACAAAAAGAACACCATCTTTCCTCAGCCATCGCACATCGCCTCATCTCGCATTCTTAAGGAAGTCTTCCTCTTTGGTTTTTGGACAGCCAATTCTCATCTGCCTAATAGTCCCACAGGCCCCAATGTCCTTCTTTGCAAGGTCTTGCATAGAAGAGGACTAGTGTAAAAGTGATCTGTGAGGACATGATATTTTTTACCCAGTAAGGGAAAGTCAAACAGTCTCATCAATGATGCATAACTACAGCACCTTTCCCCAAACACTTCCATGTGTACTCTGTGGTCGAATCAGAAAGCACAAACAATTTATAGCCAAATTTGGAGGGCCTGTTCTTCATGTACTGCCTGAATGAAATCTTCGCCCTGCTGGCAACCATCGTTTTATCAGTGCCAATTCGTCTCACAGGCTGATAATGTGACTTGCAAGCAGTCATCAAGTTGTCATGAAGTGGCCTACTTTGGCACAAATGGTCAAATTCAGCTGCGCCCCTTTTTTCCTCATTCTGCCCATCCTCATCAATGTCTGACATGTGGAGACACTGTAAAATGGACTCAAATCTTTCTCTCCTCATATGGCAACGAGCGAATGGAAGACCGTCAGGGAAAGATGTCCTCCACAAGTCTCCACAAGTTATCCTCTCTAATATGAGTTTTTTCCCCCTTTTAGTTTGCAATTTAGGTAGAGCTGTCTCTGAAAAATGTTTTCGGCTCATCATGTTGTACTGAGGCTCCAGATGGCTAATTAGCAGTTGGAATGCCATGTCCCCAACAACCGACAGCGGTTGCCCATCCATCACAACAAAGTTCAGTATCCTCTCCATCATTTTGGTTACCTGCGCACCATTAGGTGGAAATTTTTCACGCCTTTCCTTCATCTCCTCTAAAGTTTGCTGATTTATACCACCTCCTTTTCGTTAAGTCAGTGCAGTGAATTCAGCTCCTTGGCATGAAATCTCTGTAGGTGCTTGATCAAGTTGGTTGTGTTATAACTTGAAGTTTTACCACTGCCCCTCGGAACATTTACTGCGCAGGTATTGCAAGTGGCTGTCCAGCTTGTGGGCTGAGGTAGTGTGATAAAGTTCAAGGTAGCAGACCGCTTTGGTCACTCCATTTTGAAAACAATGTGGGCATCCGCTCAGCGTGTGTACTTGTAGATGCCACTCACGGGTATATCATTAAGTTAGACTGAATAGATCTAACTCATAGTCATAATGAATGTGACTGAGCACATTTTAGGCTGTTTGGGTTTTATATAAACTGTACTTTATCCCCTTGAGCCCGTTCACATATTTTTTCTCCATCTAAAAGAAATTCAAACAATGAATTTATACTGTGCTGAAATATGTTGAATTAAGTCAAGCCTGTTACCAGCTTCAACCCACATACAGCGACATCTCAGAATTAGTCCAGTCAGAACATACACTATTATATAAGATTTTTACTCTCCATTATTGATCATTTTGCAGTGATCAATAACAGAGAAATAATTCACTAAAAAAACAGTATCTCATAAAAATGCACAAATGCAGAGATTTCAGCATGAGAGGGCTGTGGCTGTACCTTGATCAGTTGAGGGCAGTACTAGTAAACCAGCACCTCCCTGTCATCTGGCAATTTGGGAGGCTATTTTAACCTACAAGAGCTCTCTGCATAAGAGCTGCATGGGTACTTTCAGCTCCACCACCATCCCAGTATCCATCTGCAGGCCATGATGATAGAGATGTAGGATATTATCTCATTACTTCTCAAATTTCTGCATGTAAAGCAAAACTGTGAGGAGGGATAAGGGTAGAGCCTAGATACAGACTCCAAACTCTAAACATTTCCAACCTGAGCTTAAACATCCGTCTTTCACAAAGAATCTCCACTAAGAAATGTAGTCACATCATGATTCCATTTTTCTACACGTTTTGTTACTACCACAGCCCTTTTATGACTAAAGTGTGTTTTTATAATTTTTCCTTTGGGGTCCCAATTTGTGTCTTTGTTTGTGTTTTCTCATGCTGTTACAGTCTGTGTTTACATATTTGCACAAGCTATTTTGTGTGTAGGACAAAATAAATTTAGTCTGTCCCTCTGCCAGAAACACCAGACTGGCTAAACCGACCAGCCCTCATTTCACTGTAAGCAGGGACCTTATTTTGTGGCTCTCCTGACTCTACAGCAGAGGTTGCATCATATCAGCTCAGAGCTCAGACAGATATGCTGCAGACAGAGAGGAATGTGTGAGCGAGAGGGTCAAAGTTCACGACACAGTGTTTGGATGAATACGTTTCATTTGTATACACACTTTATTTACAACACTGTCTTTGTTAGCGCAGCTGCAGAAAGAACATTTTTCTCATCAGGAGATATGGACAGCAGGCTCAGAGTCTGTCATTTACATGTTGTTAAAAGCTCATTTATTAAAATAAATATATTTGTTAAATTTTAGGGACATTTTGATTTTTTTGGTAGTAGTATGTGAAATAAACATTTCAGCTCCAAAAAATTTTGAATTTTCTGGCCATAATTTGTGGTGTCAGGCATTAAAGGGCTAGAATGGCTTGTAATTTGACTAACATATGCAGATATATGCTGTAGGGCAGGGGTGCCCAAACTTTTTTAAACCAAGATCTTCTTTAAACATTTGAAGTCTGTTGCGATCCACTTTTATTAACACAGACATTTATAGTGGTTGCCTACATCCTATCAGTGACATACACTCACCGGCCACTTTATTAGGTACACCTGTCCAACTGCTCTTTAACACTTAATTTCTTATCAGCCAATCACATGGCGGCAACTTAGTGCATTTAGGCATGTAGACATGGTCAAGACAATCTCCTGCAGTTCAAACCGAGCATCAGTATGGGGAAGAAAGGTGATTTGAGTGACTTTGAACGTGGCATGGTTGTTGGTGCCAGAAGGGCTGGTCTGAGTATTTCAGAAACTGCTGATCTACTGGGATTTTCACGCACAACCATCTCTGGGGTTTACAGAGAATGGTCCGAAAAAGAAAAAATATCCAGTGAGCGGCAGTTCTGTGGGCGGAAATGCCTTGTTGATGCCAGAGGTCAGAGGAGAATGGCCAGACTGGTTCGAGCTGATAGAAAGGCAACAGTGACTCAAATAACCACCCGTTACAACCAAGGTAGGCAGAAGAGCATCTCTGAACGCACAGTACGTCGAACTTTGAGGCAGATGGGCTTCAGCAGCAGAAGACCACGCCGGGTGCCACTCCTTTCAGCTAAGAACAGGAAACTGAGGCTACAATTTGCACAAGCTCATCGAAATTGGACAATAGAAGATTGGAAAAACGTTGCCTGGTCTGATGAGTCTCGATTTCTGCTGCGACATTCGGATGGTAGGGTCGGAATTTGGCGTCAACAACATGAAAGCATGGATCCATCCTGCCTTGTATCAACGGTTCAGGCTGGTGGTGGTGGTGTCATGGTGTGGGGAATATTTTCTTGGCACTCTTTGGGCCCCTTGGTACCAATTGAGCATCGTTGCAACGCCACAGCCTACCTGAGTATTGTTGCTGACCATGTCCATCCCTTTATGACCACAATGTACCCAACTTCTGATGGCTACTTTCAGCAGGATAATGCGCCATGTCATAAAGCTGGAATCATCTCAGACTGGTTTCTTGAACATGACAATGAGTTCACTGTACTCAAATGGCCTCCACAGTCACCAGATCTCAATCCAATAGAGCATCTTTGGGATGTGGTGGAACCGGAGATTCGCATCATGGATGTGCAGCCGACAAATCTGCGGCAACTGTGTGATGCCATCATGTCAATATGGACCAAGCTCTCTGAGGAATGCTTCCAGCACCTTGTTGAATCTATGCCACGAAGAATTGAGGCAGTTCTGAAGGCAAAAGGGGGTCCAACCCGTTACTAGCATGGTGTACCTAATAAAGTGGCCGGTGAGTGTATTTGGAGTGTTTACACTGCTGCACACAAGAAATTAACACATCAACATTACATTTAAATGATTTTCTACTTTAGTGGGACCTCTGGCACTGGGAGGAGGAAGCAAGTTGCTCATAGTCAGGGCAGTAAGAGCTAGTTGCAAGTCTCAGGCAGGCAATGCAATCCACATCAATATCCTCCACAAAAGGAAAACACAGATAACTGGCAACAGGCTCAATGGATACAAAGTCAGTAAAATGCCTCTCAAATTCTGACAGGATGCTCTGAACCTGCTCTTCATAACGGGCTTCATCAAGCTGTGCAGAGTTTTTACCCTGACGCTGAAGTTCTGCTTGCATGTGAGGAAAGTTTCGCAGGTCACAGTGTTGCAGCCGATTTGAAAGCAGCTGCAGCTTGCTTTTGAATGTGTTTACTGAACTGATCAAATTGATAACATGTTTATCCTTACCCTGGAGCTCTAAATTCAGATCATTAAGCATGTCAGTAATGTCTGTCAGAAATGTTAAATCCAAAAGCCACTGGGAGTCCTCTAGCTGAATGTGCTCTGTGTGCTGTGACAGTTTCAGGAAATCTTTAATTTCTGGCAGTAATTCAGTGAACCTGGCCAAAAATTTACCTCTGCTTAACCACCTCACATCTGTGTGGAGCAGCAAGTCAGTGTGTTCTGCGCCAGTCTCCTCCAAATGAGCGTGGAATAATCTTCTCTGTAGGCTCCTGGCCCGGACAGAGCACAAAATCTTCATAGCAACACCCATCACTTCTTTCATGTTTAAAATCTTCCCACACAATGCTTGCTGATGTATAATACAGTGGTAATTAAGGATGTCAGGGAAAGATTCACAATGCAATGAACCCACTTGTGCGGCCCACCATGGCTGGTGCACCATGAGTTGTGATGGAGATCAGCTTGAAGAGGGGCAGTTTGTTCGTTTTAACAAAGTCCATGAAAGTGTTAAAAATATCTTCGCCTCTTGTGTGTCCCTTCAAAGGCAAAACTGTCAGTAGTTCTTTTGCCGACATGTCTCCAAAAACCATCCTGATGAAACACATGGTTGTGGCACATCCACCACATCAGTTGACTCGTCACACTGGAGGGAGAAACACTCACATCCATCGATGTCCTTCTTCAACTGTGTTTCAACATCCTCTGCCGTTCCCTCACACCATTGTGTGACAGTATTCCGCGATAACTGCATGTCCTTGATAGTGGAGACAATCTCCGTTTTGATCTTAAAGTCACCAAAAAGTGCGTCCACGGCTTCAATGAAGGCTTCCTTAACAACTCCGCCCTTCTTGAAAGACTTCTTGTGTTTAGCAAGCGTGCGAGAAACACGGTAAGATGCTAGCAGCCTTACCCTTGGTGTTGGGTCTGGTAAAAACAGACTGCTGGGCTGCAAGCTGCATCTTCAACTCCCGCACTTTCTGCAAGTGTAGCTCGGATTTAGCAGGGAAGTCTGTCGCATATTTTTTGTGCAGTGTCTTAAAATGCCTTTCCAGATTTCCCTTCTTTGGTATAGCCATGCTGGCTATAGTTTTCGGTCTTTTTACTTTGGCCATTTCTCTATTGCTGCTAGCTAAGTAAACAGCGGCTGCAGCACGCACGCGTTGTGACCTGACCTCACAGCCGCAACAGAGAGGGGGCGTGGTATTGGCATGGCACAGCCATGAGAAAAATAGCCAATTAACGTTACCAAATAGTTGATCGGATACAAGACTTTTTTTTTTACGCTGTCAAGGCTACTTTTCACGATCGACTGAGAATTAGTCCGTGATCTACCAGTCGATCGCAATCGACTGGTTGAGCACCCCAGCTGAAGGGGAGTATCTTTGTGTCAATGTATGCAGCTCAGTCAGACTGAAACCAGTTGTTTCAAGTATTATGCATTAGGAATGGGCGATGTGGGCTAAAAAAATTATCATGATAAGATTTGCCATTCTAGTGATAACGATAAAAGTCCAGATAGAAAATATTATAATTCTAATCTATATTTTTGACTCATTTTGTCTTGAGAACACTAGTTGGAGTAGAAAATAAGGTACTTAACCGCAAGTTTGAGTGGTAGGTTATGGAGAAAACTAATGACATCAAACAAGTCTGAAATGTGAAAACATTTTCAACATTTGTTGAAAGCTCTTATTGCACAGAGTGAACAGCAGCAGAACTACTGTCTGATGTCAGGCATACCTGATTGCCCTCATCTAAACCCCAATCTTGAAGGAAATCCCTCATGTGGAGCCTTGTTCAGTAACGTGCTGATCAGAAACGTCTTCTTCATTACCTTCGGCCATGTTTGTTTGTTATTCTGCTCTGTGTGGGCTATGGCTGCGAGTCCATCGCTCACACTTACATCATCAACTTGCATTTATCACATTTATCATGAGATGGCAAATATTTATCATGGAGGATTTTTTTGACTATTTATTGTGAATGATATAGCCCATCCTTATTATGCATATGCTCCAAGGTTTGCATGTCCAGCTTTGACCTGGAAGTTGAACAGTAAAAATACCTTGCAGAAAGCCAAATGGTGAAGAAAACAGAAGAGGAAGGGATGCAAAAAGTAAAGCGTAAAATTAGCACAGAGCTCTGAATTTGACGCTGTTTCTATCATTCAACAACCAGCTCGCCTCTAGCTATATTTCTCATTAAATTCAACAGGGAGATGGCCTTATGGACTACAATCAATCAAAAAATCAATCAATCAATCAATCAATTAATCTTTATTGATAAAGAGCCAAATCAAATCAAGTATTATCCCATGACGCATAAAGAAAAGTGAATCTAGATCATACTAACAAACCCCTAATGTAAAGATGTGATCTGACTGATTCCCATTCTGTAAGATCAGACCCACTCTCATCCTCATCCTCACCCACATGAGTGGGATGAGTACAGCATTTATTTAGTTACAGTGGAGAGGAAGAACTGCCTTTAACAGGCAGAAACCTTGAGCAGAACCAGACTGATGTTAGACAGTCATTTGCCGAGACTGAGCTGAGTTTAGAAAGAGGTGGACAGAGGAGAGACTGATGTTTGTAGTTGAAACAGCTAGAAAGCAGCAGGTCCACAGCAACAGAGGACCACAGCAGTGATCCAGAGGAACCTTGTTTTAACTGATTCTGAATTGTATTATGTATTATTATGTATTATCATGTATTATCATGTTGTGTGCTGTTGACCTCTTTGCCAGGTCACCCTTTTAAAAGAGCTTGTTCTCAATGGGTTCCTATCTGGTTAAAGACATAAAATATGGAGCTTGGGAACGTAAAGAAAAGACTGTGTATCGGTGACACAAATACACCATGCATTTAAATATACTGAGTAAGACTTACATTCAGCTTAAAGGGGGGCATAGATCTTTCTGGAGGTACCATAGGTTCCTCTGGGCCTGGGTGATTTGGCAAAAAAAAATGATCATTTTGTCGTACCGTCCGATCTCGATTATTATCAAAATTGTTTTTTTTTAACTGCCAGTTTTAAAGTATCTGTACTAAAAACTGAAAAACTAGAGATTAGTTCAACATTGTATTAACATACGAAGTAAATAACAAAGAATAAGATACACTTAGAAAAATATAAAAAACATTAACTCAACAGAACAACAAATGTAGATACAGTAAATACTATATAATACAGTGAACTAGTTTACAGCCCTGAGTATTTTTGCAGGTATGCAGGACGCCTTAAAATGTAAACATTAGATGATGTAAACGAAGATGAAATGATTGATCGCTGTTTTGGTCTGGTGGCTGCACTGCTAGTTGTGGCTAAACTGCTAATGCTACTCGTACCGTCAGCAGTGACAGGCTGTGCAGACTCCACTCACATTTTCATGCTCCCGCATAATCACTTGGGAAGAGCTTCTTCGAATGATTAAACAGATTTGTTGTGTAGCTGGTTTTTGAGGGCACTGATCGACGACATACCTTGCTCATCGGCTTAATTGCTCGACGTCACTTTGGAGATACCCGAACCACCGCCACACAACCGTGGTTGAATAACTTTTCAACAATAACATCTTCGGAGGAGGACTCAAAGTCATGGCTGACATCTATTTAGTTGTCCTCAGCTCCGCATTTAGCTCCATGTTCAGTCATTCTGTTTACTTCTCCTGTCTACTTCTACAGTAACTTACAGAAGTGAGCAGGAACAGCTTGACTCTGATTGGCTGTTGTGGCGCACATTTCCTCTATGTTTGATCAAGTAAATATGCTCACAGCTGATCACCGTGATCGAACTGAAATTTATCACGATCACGATCACATAATTGCCCAGTCCTAGGTTCCTCTTAATCGTTGCTGTAAACAGCTTGCTGCAACTCAGGCTGTTTACAGGTTTACTGTGTAGCAGTTAAGTTTTTTGGTTTATTTATCACCTTAGAAAATACTTTCCTGATGAATCTAAGGTTATAGTCACTCATCTTCAGCCAAGCATGATGCTTCTTTTGTACATTAAGGCATATCTGAACTATAGTATGAACCTGTAGCTCCACAAAAAAAAATTTCACCTGAGAAGAGAAACAGTGAAAAGCCAAACTCAGGTCTCACGTGAATACAGTAGTCTGTAAAGGACCTGTACTCTTATGGTCCAATAAGGTTCATGGGTCTAACTTTCTTATTACGGTCCTACTGTATTCAACATGAACACATTTCCTGTTCATCAACTGGAGGCAAAGCAGAAACAATGTTCACGTAACACTGCAACAGAGGCTTATCTGTTTGAAACAAGCAGCCATTGTACCAGCTAACGAAGGGACAGACCCACTCGCCCATCCACAGCACAGCTCTGCTCTGCACAATAATTAATCAGCCCCTGACACAAACAGGACACTCAACATCTACACACCCACTCGGTAAAATTTTTCCAGGCCGGTCAGTCTCTCTTGAGGATTGCCTCTCTCCTGACTTAGTTTGTTCAGCCTCTTACAGCCTGTCCGAGTAGTTATATTTTCATGATGAGCCATAATACAAAAGGAAAACTGACCTACTGATCATATTCAGGAAAAAAGTCCAAATATCAGATGATCACAAGTTTCTGTTGAGTTTTAACAGCACAGAACAATCATAAGATTTTCAGAAAATCTAATGATACATCTTCCCTCCTGATTTTTCCTAAGTCGCCCCCTCACAGCATGTAGTCTTCTGTGTTGGATGGGGTAGAGGAGAGGGAGACCAGGCGTACATCAGATAGTCACTGTTTAATTTTTTACTGTTTTATCTAAATTAAAATGGCTGATTCTTTTCTTTTCACTCATTCATGTATTTGACTAATTGTGCTGCTTTTGTTCCTGTTTCCCTCCCTACCTGTGACGTATGTCCATTGTCAAATTCATCGCTGCATTATTGTCCATACTTGCAATAAGGTTTATCTTTAAAAGGCTGCATTCAGAGTCACCAAAGGAGTAAAAAGAACATGCAGAGAAACAGAGGATTGTATTCAACACTACATGTCGATTTGATTTTAGCCATCACTTTTGTCACTCTTCCAGTAAGGGCTGAAACGATTCCTCGAGTTCCTCGAGTACCTCGAGTACCTCGATTACAAAAAATGATTGAGCAATTTTCTCTGCCTCGAGTACTCGTATAAAAGCTCAAATCGTCGCTGTTTCGCACAGATTATTTTCAAGGTGACACAACGCGCTCACGTCACCACGGTAGAAGGAGGAGTAGATGAAGTTTTGGTTTTGCAGAGTGGAAAAAATGAATGATGAGAGGGGCTTTCCTTCTGCAGAGCTCCAGTAGCTCATTAGCAATTCACCTCTGAGTTGTGGGCGGAGACAGCGCTGCTCTGCACACTCCTCTTCACGCTAGCTTGCAGCCTAACATTGCGGGTGTAGTGGAAGAAGCAGGTAACAAAGGAACTATTCAGCTCTCAGACACTAATGTCTTTGGGGACATGATGAAAGTTAATATCAAAATTAGCTTTTTTACGAGCATTGCAATCCGCTAATGCACACACTTGTTCCGCGTCCCTTGTTTCTAATAAAGGAAAGCAATTTTATTGTTCATTACTAAGTTAAATGTCCTATTTTCTCTTGTATATCAATAAAAGTTTTATCCGATTACTCGATTAATCGATGGAATATTCGGTAGAATACTTGATTACTAAAATATTAAATAGCTGCAGTCCTACTTCCAGCTTCACACTGCTGTTTGGCTCAACAGTGCTTGTCTTGAGGTGTGCCACTCAAAATGTTTATTGATGGTTTTGTTGAAGATTATCCAAACATGCTAACCTCCAGTAAAAGATTAAATACAAATACACTATCACCATAACAATCCAGGGATTACTCAAGTCTACAAAGGCACTTTGGTCTTGCTCAAGTTGTCTATGATCCATCTTATTACGTGAGGGGAGAGTTTGGATCCTTCCTTTTCTCAAGTAAACAACCGCAGCACAGATGCTCCACATGATGGAAATTCAGGCTCATTATTGTGATCTTGGTTAGAGCTGCACAACATTAGGAAACTAATGCTGTGTTTTTTATTATTTTTTTTTTTTCTGTAACACTCACTTTAACATTCTCATGCACAAACTATACTAAGACCCACAGTCGACTTACTTGCTTATCAGTCATTTCTGTCAATGATAAAAATTAGGCCTAAAGATGAAGATGCTGAAAGTAAACTCTGTGGTCCTGTTGGTTTTCTGGTCTGTAGGTGTACCTAGACCAGCAGGAAACTGTCTCAACAGGGAGTTTATAGGAAATCTGTAATGGTAGCGGTTCAAGAGGTGTGTGCATGATTAAACTCAGTCATGTGACACAGATAGAGCAGTCAGTTCTTCTGTGTGTCTAAATAGGGGTTGCATTAACCCTCTGATGCATGAATTATGAAAGCCCTGATCAAGATTTTTTTCATAAGTGTTTGAAAGTTGGCAAAGCATCCAGGGCACAATGGCACACAGGCTTTATATGAGCACAGGATTTGCACATATCTGTTTACAGACATGGCATTTGCAATCATCCCTAGACAAGGCCATCCTCACTAGACCAGTACATGTGTGCCCTGGGATAACGAATGTACCCCATGATCATGTTGATTCCTAAAAAAGTCAGCATTTCTTCTCCTGTCACTGCCAAATTTTCTTTACCTTACTGGGGAGCATACAAGTTTGTGTTTTTCACTATATCATCAATGAGATCTGCTGGAAACAGATGTCTGGAGAAGTCTATAGGCTCTCTTCCCTCCACATTGAATTTCCACTCTCCTAGAAAAGGAGGCAAATCTCTATCAAAGTGATTGTCTTGGACTTTCCAGATATTTTTGCGAGCTTGAGAATGGTCAGGTGCCATGTGCCCATTTTCCACAGCTCCCTGATCATGCTGACCATCCCCTGCATCCTGCCTCTCATCATTCTGGTCCTCATCCACTTGACTATAGGCATCTACCCTTTCTGCACCCTGACTGTCTGTATCGCCTTCATCCTCAGCCCCTACATGTCTATTCTTCTCTGGCAGCCACTCTTCGTCACTGTTACACACTAATTACACTGTATACACTGATTTATAACCAAAACAGCCACAAGTAACAGTGAAGCAATTACATGACTCCTGTTAAAAAAAATACTGGGTGATGCATGATGTCCACTCAGTTGGACACATGGTTAATTGTAATTTTCTACATATTGGACATGAAATTTTCAATTCCAAATGGATAATATCCTTCCTTAGATGTTACAGTATATCATCATATTTTTTTTACAGCTGGGGTTCTTCTACTGTAGAAGTATTGACAGGACATGCCAGCTGTAGTCAGCAGGGGTGGCTGTTTCTCGGCCATCTTGGATTTGTAGGAAATTTACTTGCAGTTACACTGATTGCTCACTAAATGTAACTTACTGGAGTAGGGCAGTAGAGAGCACCCTAGAGGCTGATACACACTTCCACCATAGAAACCATTGCATTTAAGAGAAAAAGAGTTTTTGGTAGCTGTCCACTGTAGTGACCACTATGAACCAGAGGGTTAATGAGATTTTATATTTTGAAGATTAATCCTGGATGAGGGAGTGGTAACAGAATTATATTTAAACAATAGTTCATGCAGCCTTTGGAAATGTTTGGCCCTGCAAGAACCAGCTCTTTTGGCCCCTAAATGGCTCCTACATGGCCTCATACTATTTTGTCTTATAAAAGCTAGTTCTAGGAGAGTTTGTTACGACAATATAGTTTGGGATCAATTTCCTCTTGCACAGTCCCACAGTTAATGCGTCAGTTTTTGACATTTAAGTTGAAAATTATTGACGTGTTGAAGGAAGCTGGGTAGTGAACAAAAACTTGACAAGAGAACGAAGGTAAAAAAAATTAAGCTGATATATCGTACATGCTAAAGGTACAGGGCTGCACATTAACAAGTGAATTTGTTTTTCAACATACAACCAAGTTGCCTCTTTGTCAGTTCTTTTGGTACATGCATTCACACATGCAGCCAACTTGGAAAGTTTCAGGAAGTTTTTTGGAGTTTTGCATGATTAGGGATATATACTTGGTTTTCTTCACTTGATGGTATGTTGGGGTGTGGACTATCATGGACTCACCCTAACCCTAGACTTCTGTGTCTTTAAATTCTCCTGAATTCATCAAGATCTTGAGGAGACAACTGAGATGAACTCGTTCCTCTGTGCCAGAAAAGGGAGTATATGGATGCATGAACTTAAGTGTCCTAACAGTAAAAATATGTGACTCCCAACTCACCCCTACGCTCCTCTCCTCTTGAGACCCCTCCAACCCTCCTCCAGCAGCCTGAAAGACCAGATGTAATCTGTTTACCTCCTGGGAGCTACAACAGCACTTTCTCTCCTCTGTTACTCTGTTATCACTCATCCCTGCTCCTTTTCTCATCATTCATCCCTGTCTCAGTCCCACACTGCCCTTGTAAGGCAGAAAAGCCTAAAGACAGATCCAGATCTCTGAGGGGGGACAGCTGTGGACCTCAGGGTGCTTGGCCTTGTATGGAGAACAGTCTGCCCCACCTCTGCTCTTGAAAATATCACACTCTTCATCAAATATATCAGTTTAAATACTAGAATTAAAGATTTAAGCCAGATTTTTCATTTCTAATCACAGCAAGGACTTCTGCAGGGTGTTAATCTAAGTTTCTGATGGGCTGCTGTTTTCCATTAACAGTGGACTACTGTTAATTTCATAGGGCACTGGACCTTTTCTCCCCTGGGAGCCTTACACTGACCTGACCCTCGTACAGCTGGTCCAGACTCTCATCGATCCACTTCTCCACGTCCAGTCGCTTCTGTAGCTCTTTTCGGTTGTACTTGACGGTGACTCGCGCATGTCTCTTGGGGATGTTACCGCTAAGCCCAAAAGTCTGGTCCGCTTGTCCTGACTGGACCCCCTCCTCACCTTCCTCATCGTCCATGAGCGACGTCTCGGTCCGATTTGCCATCTTTCGTCTGGACTGGTCTGACTGGTTCGTCGTCTGTTTTACTCACGGGCGTTAGTGAGCGAGAGAGAGAGAGAGAGAGAGAGAGAGAGAGAGAGAGAGAGAGAGAGAGAGAGAAACGTGTGTGTGTGTGTGTGTGTGTGTGTGGGGGGGGGGGGGGGATGTCTCTCTCCAGGTATGTTGATGCACGTGGGTTCTTCTGCTCTTTGCATATTTAAAATGACTCTATCCTGTAAAAGCAACTCTTCAACGTGAGCTCTGCACTGAAAGAAAGTGACTTTTTGGTGCAGTAAACTCTATTAGAGTAATAACTATCATCATTTCTACCATGTAAGATTCAGTAAGAACTACAGTTTCTTTAGTAAAATTAAACATTTTTAACTTAATACATGAATTATGGGTAAGGAGTTAGTTTTACTATGGTTTTCTTATACTATTTAATTTTTAATGGTTGTATGTACATAAACCTTTTCGGGTCTCTGGTAAAGCGCTCTGATAAACACTTAAAATAATTAAGCAATAAATAATTAGCATTTACTCAATTACTTCATAACAGCAAATACTACAGAGATATAAAATGTACTTAAAATGTTGAGAAAAATGAGGATCCTGCCTATGAAAAACAAGAAGATTTTACTTAATTTGTTAAAATAAGTATCACTCAAAACTTGGATGTCATTAAGTAAATGTTACTTGACATCTTCACAACTGTTATGTTATGGCAAGGAAAATTTACTTGATACTGGAAAGTAAGTGTTACTTCATATACTAAAGTACTAAATTTTACCTATATCATTTCATTCGCATGCAAATAGTTACAATATTATATATATATATATATATATATATATATATATATATATATTTGTTTGTTTTATTTATTTATTTATTTTCTTTTAAACCAAACTTACACCTTGCAGCCTGAGTGAGAAACGTTCTCAAAATAGTGCAAAACTGTGGTGGCCCAGGAGTGATAGAAACTGAAGCATACATAAGAAAACACAAGCAGGAATCACAAAATAAAAGTTCCTTAAATCATTCAGAGTTTCTTAATGTTGACAACAAAATAAAAACAATTCTTATGATGATTGTTCTTATTATAAGACTGTTTAAAAGAAACGTCTGTATTTTGTACAGGCCCCTTGAATCCTGCAAGTTCATATCTTGTGGCCACAGAATAATTATTTTGCTCAAGAGTTGATAACAAATAAGCACATGATAACAACTGTAATAATGATCTTGTTTGCACATCGTAATAACACTGGTGTACAAGAAAAAATAACCGGGTCCTACAACACATTCATCTTATACCCCATGGTTAAAACCCAGAAGATTAAACCTGTTCATGTAAGATCATTTTTCCAATATTCACAGGCACTTACTTATTTTACATTTTTAATGACTTCAATAAATGCATGGAATAACAAAAATAAATGTATAAGGAGAGAAAAAATGTGAGGCTTGTATGGCACATGTCGCCTTTTTTAGGAACCTTATTATAAGTTTGGAGCAGGGTGGTGTTGGTTTAGACCTTGAGACTCGGACTGAGTTCAGTCCAGGAGACAAGGAGACAGGGAGACAGGGGACAGTCTGAAGGGTGTGTCTGTTTATGGCTCCGTTTATCAGTCAGACTGATGATGTTACAAACTGTTTAAGACAGACATAAACATGTGCCACACAGTCTGCAGAGCCTGTAAACACTCTAAAACTTACACTCTGCTTTTATTTAGAGAGAAGGGGATGCAGGATTTCTTCACCCTGCAACTCTGATTAAAAACAGTTCTGTTCTCCAGTGGTAAACACTGATTTTAGCTGTTTCCTCGTCTGTATATTCGTTTCCTGTCTTCATATTCGTATCAATTTTTTTTACACATCTTTGAGACAGTGTAACCTGGTGGAAAACAAACTTTTCTTAAACATATAATTTTCCCCTTTCAATGGGTGAAATTAATTGGGATAATGTTTACCATGATTTCTAAGTAATCTTTTATATGTTTTTTTTTTTATTATAATGAGAAAAATTAAAGCAGGAGTCCAAATATTTGCCATCTCATTGTCACTAGATGTTGCCACTAGAGGCTGCTGTTCACCAACACTCCATCCTCAGATTAGGACTAACAGCATTAAGTCCTCTTTGTCAGGTGACTTTGAATTTCAATTTTAACTCTTGACAGAGTTTAAAGTTTTGTATTTCTCATATTTGGTGCTGATTTTATTTGTTTATTTAATGATTATACATAATTCTGTATCAAAACAAACTCCAACAGTGATTGTCTGTTTGTATTATAAAAGGTGTGTATGTAGATGAAAGGGCAATTGAACTTGTTTGAGGTTCTTGAGGGATGTACTGCCAGGGTGTGTACTTTATGATAGGCAAAGCTAATGCTATACTAATATACTACTGTATAGGGGCCAGTGCCTTCGTGCCTTTGCTCAATGCCCAGAGGCCCTAAAAATTAGGAATATCAAAACAAATATCAAAATGCTCTATTGGTCACCCCTCCTGTCTGTGAAGGGGCGGTGGTCTTTAAAAGCAAGAAGCTTCTGTGATGCAGATATGTATGATCCTCTATTTGTCAAGATGTGGTGGTGATAAGAGTAAACCTTTGTGGATGTGGACCCTACTGCTATATTGGTATGAAAGGCCCATTCAAAGCAAAGACACAGGAACTTCACCGGTTTTACTGTTATAACTGTAGTCCAGGCAAATGATCATTCAATTATTTAATAGAAAATTCCTTAGTCAGTTTAATTTCTTCATACTAATTGGATGGTCAACCACAATAAAACATATCTTTGCAAGATAACTGTTTACATTTTACTATCAAGAAATCCACATCACTCAACACTGGAGAGCGGGGACCTCTGCTGGTGACTTCACATAAGTTCCATTTATCTGGACTCTATTTGTTACAGTGAAACCCTCAAACAGAAATCATCTTGTCATTACAGCAAACCTGGGGTTGTTTCAAGAAAGTCAAAATAGGTAATCAAGAGACAAACACCAGAGAGAGAGACCTGTTAATATACCATGCTGCTTTATCCTGTACCTTATTTTGATTTATCTCGCTGTGTGACTCTATCTACTTTGTTTCAATCTGTTTGTTGATTAAAGCTCCTGTGAGGAGTTTTACCAGTAATGATTTTTGTTTTAGATAAAAAAAAGTAAATTCAGACAGATGATTGAAAGAAATGGCTTTTTCTATATAGTTACTCATAATGTCTATAAGTAACTTTGTTGGGGGGTAGGTGACAGGCTGAGTCATTCTGCCTGCTGGTGGTGATACAGCTTTTCATTCACACATTTATCGTCAGGGTTGGTGTGCTTTGATATTTTATTACTGAATCAAAAATTGCCAGCACATGACCTTTAAAGCTCCTGTGAGGATTTTTTGAAGTTGAGGAAATAGACTGAAATTCATATTGATACCCTTCTGTGATGTCCAAAAGCAAATAAAGATCACCAGGAACAAGATTGGCATGTATACCTACTGTAATTTTTACTGCTTGAAAGTGGTGTGAGGGGTAGGTGTCATCAGAGTGGCTGAAGAAACAGCACTATTTCAACAATTTCTGCATCAAATATTCACAATAATAGATAGATTTGAATGTCAAACAAAAGACACTACTCAAATAGGTAGATGACAAGATAAGCAAAAACTGCTTTGTCCACAGGGGGCGCCAAAGATGACACAGACATAAAGTTCCTTAGAAGACCTTTAAGTTTCCACGGTAGTCCATCTATATAAAAAACACAGTATCAGACACTCAATATCATTAAAGCAAATCTTTATTCCACATCACAAGCACAACATGATGAACTTAAATAAATGACAATGAAACATAACACAAACTTTGGCATGAACACAAAATGGCACATGAAGAGCAGTGTGATCAGTGGTCAATAAACTTAAAATATCCATCACAGTACCGGCTGACTTTAACTTTTATACCCCTCTCTTAATCGCTTTGGGATATTTCACACAGCCTTCACCATAAAACATCACACGTCGGTCTTCATTCAGCATCTTATAAATAAATCTCTACATCTGTGACAATCAAAGTGGAGCCTCCAACACAGCTTTTCAAATAAATAAATAATATAAAGAATAAAATAATGATGGTGCGCACAATAAGGAAATAATGGCCAAAGGAAGATTGAAAAGCAAAACAAAATTTCTGGTCAAAAGATGAAAAATAATCAAACAAAGTGGACGTATCAAAAACAATCAAACAAAGTTTTGGGCAATTCTTCCAGTTAGTCAGAGTCAGAGCTGTCCAGTTTTTGGTTTGTGTTGTAGGTCCTGAAAAGTGGTTGATATTTTTGTTTCTTTGGGTCTTTTACATGGAAGAGCTTTGCCTCATATACACTTTAATAATCTTTGTTTATAATCTTCATCAGGAAAGTTCATATTTTTGTGTTTTTTTCTTTTTTTTCATCTTTAGCATGAGCAGAGTGGGTTCAGCTCACGGTTTTTGCTCCTTTCTTCACCGTGCATGAAGAGATGAGCATCAAGTGCTACTTTTTACCTCACAACAGAATTTTCTCTGTTATCTCAGTCCTGCTGCAGAGCCAGCCTCGTCCCTCCACATAAAGTCCTGACGCTCCCCTCGGACCAGACTGCTCTCCACCGGGTTGTGTCTGAACCCGGAGCGCCCGTCGGGGCACAGCGAGAGGCTGAGGCGAGCCGTGCTGTTGCTGATCTTAAAGAGGCCGTTTGGACCGAGGAAAGCGTCTCTTTCACTTCCTCCCAGGTTGTTCACCGTCTCAAAATCATTATACACAGCAACATCACTTAGCTGCTTCCTCCCCTGTAGCCTCCTCCTCCTCCTTAGGAAGATGATACCGGCTACCAGAACCAGCACCAGGATGGAGAGGACGCAAGAGACGGTGAGTGTGGCAGAGGTCGGCTGGGAGGATTGGCGCAGTGCAGGTTTGAAGCTGGGCTGCAGCGTGAACTCACAGCTGGGACCCATGAAGCCTTTGGGACACTGACACACAGGGCCGGTGAAGTGGGTGAAGCAGGTGCCACCATTCTGGCATGGACGGGCCCCGCAGGCATCGGAGCGCAAGCTGCAGTTCTTGCCGGTGTACCCCAGGGTGCAGGAGCAGGTGTAGTCGTTCACGCCATCCTGGCAGGTTCCAGCGTTCTGACATGGGCTTGATGCGCAGTCATCAATGTTGACCTGACAGTTGGCGCCTGTGAAGCCGGCCTGGCAGCGACACAAAACACTCTGACCTAGATCCAAGCACTCGCCACCTGCAGAGGAGAGGAAAATTCAGGTCAACTTCCATGAGAGGACATGGTGGAGCCAAAGGTAAAGGTGTGAATGTGATCAAATTTCTCACTTTTGTGGGTGCTGACATTAAACAGACACAATGTTCAGTTTCCCTCCCACATTCAGGGTGTGAAACACAAACTGTGAGCATTTTAGCACCTCAAAACTGATCAGGAAGCAACAAATAATGACTGCTTAGATCTTCAGACATGAGACTGAGCCAAATCTATTGCAGATCTCAGGGTCAAACTACAACATTTATGAAAATACTACATTGAACGCTATAGATTAAATACAGCTTTAAACACAACATTTAATACAGATTTCAAGAACTAATTAAAACAGTTTGGACAGAAATGTCTAGAAATAAGATTTATATTTAGATCTGTCAGTTTAGTGCAGATGAGATGTTTTAAATAGAAATTAATTAGACTTGAATGTTTGGCAGTGCAGGCAACTAATCAGCTGGCTGTCATGCAGTCAATGCAAAGCTTGTATGTTTTCAGTTTTTTTCATGACTCATAAAGTGATGCTATATTTAAAATGTAGTTGAGTGCAACACCTCACACAGAAATGACTTCAGTTAAAGTATTGATCCTGAAAAAATACACAGTTGGCAGTGAAATCTACTGTCTGCTCTGGCTTAAGTGCACAGTCTGAAGAGCTGCTGTTCAGCATGCCAGCCACAACATGTCCCCAGAGAGCAGAGGAGCCCCTGACTCACCGTTCAGACAGGGCCTGTTGCTGCAGCGGTCCAGCTTCTTCTCACAGTTGGAGCCGGTGTAGCTGGGTGGACAGCGGCAGGTGTAGCCCCCAGTCAGTGTCTCCACACAGGTGCCACCGTTGAAGCAGGGGCCGTCCGCGCAGGTCATAGCGATTATCTCACAGTTTTTCCCATAGAAACCCTGAGGGCAGGTACAGGAGTAGTCGTTCTCCAGGTCCTGAGGAGAGAGGAGGGAAAGGTCAGCTGTGAGAGAGGAAAGATCAGGACCTAGAGACTGATCTATGAGGGATTTTTACAGCTGATACATTTTCTCTAAGACAGCTCGTACAATTCCAAGTTAAAGCTGGTTTGGAGAAAGGCCTCTCCTACACTCTGCTTTCCCTACTTCTCAGAGTACTTTTTTCATGTATCAGGGTAGGGAAATTAAATAAAAATTACAGCAAAACCCTGTTGATGAGGACAAGAAAGAGAGCCCACATTTCCCCGAGCTGAAAGAGTCAGTGTTAGCTTTTAAACCTGATTTGAAGATTTTTCAGTCAGTTTCCAAAGCTCTTTGTGATGAACCGATGTTCTTTAAATTTATGAGCCTGTGGAAAAACCCTCAGATCTTCAGGTAAAGGTCTTCCTATAGTGCCTGAAGTCCAAACCAAGATTTACAGTGAGGCAGCTTGATGTTATTACAGTCAATGTCTGGTGACCAGAATACAGCACAGGGTATCAATATTTTTTAAAAGCAAACTTAGGGCCTTCCTTTTAAGAGTAGCTTTTAACTGATTTTAATTCAGTTTAGGTTAATTGTTTACTTATTTGTACATTTATTTTCAAATTGAGTCCGTTTCACTGGGCCTGTTTTTGTTTTATACTGCTTCATTACTTTGAATGACCTTTCAGCATTTAACCTTTTCTATTTATTCCTTTGAGTAGTTTTGTATTTATTTATTTTGGTTCATCTTTTGGGTTTGTCTTTTAACAGTTCATATCTTTCATTCTATTTTATCCGCATTTTCCTTGTTGTAGTTTTACATTTTAATGTACCTTCAAGTGTTTGTACTAAATCTTGAGCACAAATCAGGGTTCTGATTGTTTTTTATTGATATTTTGTTTATGTAAATCACTTGGTGCCTTATTTTGTGTCACACAAAGAAAGTCTGATTGAGACTGTGTTGTAAGAGCACCCCCTGCTGGACAATCGTAATGATTACACTAATTCTAAACCAACCCGAAGGTTACTGATTTATATTTCCTGTAAAATACTGTCTCTGCAGCGTGTTTTTCTTTGGAACACTGATAATCTGTGTAAAATGAAAGATGGTTAAATTCTGTTAAATAAAAACTAATTTTTTTTTGTTTCTAATCTGAAAAAGATTTTGGCTTTATTAAATCAGACTCATGCAGCTGCATCTTCAACTAGTGTATACTCACATTGCAGCTTCCTCCATTCTTGCAGGGGTTGCTGTCACACTCATTGGTCTCCAGCTCACAGTTAGTTCCTCCAAAGCCAGGTCTGCAGGAGCAGGTGTAGCTGCCCTGCCCGGTGTTGGTGCAGGTGGCTCCGTTGGCGCAGGGCTTGTGGTTGGTGCAGTAGTTGAGGTCCTGGTCGCAGAAGAGGCCTCCCCAGCCCTCCTGACAATTACACTGCCATGGCTGGCTGCAGGTCCCATGGAGGCAGCCTGGGTAGCGGACACACTCATTGCAGGAGGGGCCCTGCCAGCCCATACGACACGTACAGCCCCCAGGGGCCTCGCAGTAACCATGCCTCTCGCTGCAGTCCGCTGAGCAGATGGCTGCAGAAGAGAGGGAGGGTGTGTGATTACAATAGGCACGCCTTCACTGCTCGTCTCACACACACAAATGGCCCCCCTCCCCATGTCTGACCCCAGCCCCACTCCAGACTTCACTGTTGGTTAAGTATTAAGCCAAGCAGCTGGTGAGCACGCTGCCGGAGAAACGCTTTCTTTTATCTTCTGGGGTTATCTAACACACACACACACACACACACACACACACACACACACACACACACACACACACACACACACACACACACACATGGCATAGACATGTACACAAACACACACAGATCACCTTGAAAATTGTGTATGTGTGAGTGTAACGAAGATCAATGCTTTTCTCTCATTGTGGCAGCAAACAAAAGGCAGATGGAGCAGCACAGACGGACACAATACCACAGGACTTCACCCCAACAAAGACCATATTTCAGGGTATGAAAAGTGTCCTGTTCAAGGTCTTTGTGTGTGAGATCCAAGTGAGCAGGAGTTTCAAAACACCTCATTTCTCAAACCTAGGCAAAGCTTCTAGATTTAGGAGAACAAAAAACTGTTGGGGAGGTTTTACACAACAAATTTAAGATCTTTTTACAAATGTTTAGGACTGTTTAGAAATGTTTACATTAGTTTGGTATTTAGGTGACTTTTTTTCTACTTTTTTATTGGTGTTGAACTCCTTTTTTGTCCATAAAACTTCCATTTTGTAGGTGTTATTATCAACTTGTGCTGGATTATTTGAGATGTTAAACACCTTTTAACTCTGTTTCTGAAGCTCATAGATGAAATCGTTTGTTTACTAAGATTAGATATGTCCATCTTACTGTACAACCAAGTTTATTAATTATGTGGACAACAAGAAATTCAACTGTTCATGTGTCATTGAGGGAAATTTTTTGCAGTTTGACCCTAACTTACTTCCTCTGCAGGTGAACAACCTTGTAACTACAATCAGCAAAGAGGCCTAGCGTAGGGCCATCACCAGTGTATTATAATGATAACAACAGTTATTTTCTTCCTTTCACAGGCCACTCACAATCTACAAAATAAAACCATGCCATTTTTTTAACAAAACAGAAATTGAGCCTTTTTTTTCCCTAACATGATTGAATTATCAAAATAGAAGCATCATAAACACTTCTTTTGTGAGCTGATCTCTTCGCTGAACAGACTTCTTGCTGTTGACTGCAAAGGAGATGATGATAATATGATGATAATATGTAGATGAGTGCATTTATTAAGTTGGAGCAGCTGCTCCTTCTTGCTTTCCTAAGCTTAAGCTAACTTAACTGATAGTGTTTGGTTTCTTCTCGTAAATTTTACTCATTATAATCCTGTTTTAGTGATTTGGGGATTATTTTGGTCACCACAATCATTGCCCTAGATTTGCTGAATTATTAAGGATTTTATTTAAACCCATTTGCTGTATTTTTTAATCTGGTATTATATTTGTGTTTTTTAACTTGTTCGCTTCTTTTAGTATCCCTGTTTTAACTTGTGTTCAGGGTTCTTCTTGCATTTGATAGAATTGGTAGTTTTTGGAAAGAACTACATTTGAAGTCTAGGTCATGCAAACTTACGTTCAGAGCAGTAGTTTCCCTTCCAGCCCTCCAGGCAGATGCGGTTCCCCTCTTCGTCGCAGGTGTAGTGTCCCAGCGTGTCGTCTCTCGGCCTGCAGTAATCCGCGCAGCCGTCTCCAAAGTAGTACTCGTCGCAGAAGACGTGGTAGGAGTAACGCAGCTCACTCTGCTCACCAAAGTGGACATCCTGGGACCAGTCCTCTCCGATGGCTAGTCTCCTCCGGGTCGCCAGGCGGCTTACGAGGTTGTTTTGGTTGTCTGCGGGGGGGAGAGAGGCACAGGGTAAAGACTGCTGCGTCGGATGGAGACCTCAGTGGGTCTCTGCTTCATGAGGCTAAAAGTTTAACTAGCATTAGTACGATATAAACACAACTTACCTGTATATTCAGTTGGTGATTCGGCATTCCAGGCTTCAATTATTAGTGAAAAAGTTCCCTAAAACAGAAAAAAACACGCGTTATAGTGGCTTAGGACGCGTAAGGACATGCTTACTCAACACAGATATTTACTCACTGGGATTCACTAGATTAGACATCAGAAGCAAATCTTTCATGTGAATCAACACTAAGTCTAACAGTAAATAGATTTTCTCTTACCGGCCATTTGAAGTGAAAGGGCACTCTGATTGGTGCGCTGCTGGATATGGATGTGTGATCGGCTCTGATGACGTTTGTGTGCCCGGTGCCGAAGGTGCAGGGCGGCTCTGCAGAGATCACATCCTCCGGGTGCTTTAGGCAAATCCTGAAAAATATATGACAGTCCCTGTGTCTTCTGCAGATCCTCTGCGCCGTGTGGAAGGAATGAATCTTCAACTCAAACACTCCAGAGGACAAAACCTGCGAGAACAGAGATAATCATCAGGCGCGCCGTGCGTAAAGACAATTTAGAGATGTTGAATCAGCAAAGACAGGTGAAAACTTACCATATTGACAAAGGCCAAAGCCAGGAGGTATCTTAGGTATAGATGTGCCATTTCGTCCCAGTGTTTGCTGAACAGCTTCAAGTAGACGTGCGCAAGCGTTGTGCGCAAAATATTCACAAAAATATTAAAGAAAACTCAAAGTACGTCTCATCACTTTGGACCTCGTGCTCCTTTAACTGTAGATAATAATCCTTGTTTTCTCTTGTTGGTCCTCTTCTCCGTCCTGAAGTCCTCTTGTTTTGTTTCTGGTGCGTAAAGACGCGGAGAGTGTTTTATACCCTCTGCTGCTGCGCGTCACAAGCAGAGAGAAGGCGGGGCAGACCTCAGGGGAGCATCCTGACACAGAGCGCCTGTCTGGGGACTTAGACTGCCCACATTACACCTGGTCTGCTCCTCAAATAGGAATATGCATTAGAAGCTGTTGCAAAGCAGATATGTTTGTATGAATTCTAACCAGGCGGAAAAATGTACACAGCTGTGGATGACTGAGCTGAAATGGCATTACACATACCAAGCGCTCAGTCAGGCCTGTCTGCAAGAGGTTTTCAGCAAAGGAGATGCAAAGGATGAAATAGCCTTATGAAATTGATGTTGTGTCGGGTAAACGTAAAAAAACTGTAATAGAAAATAACAAAAAGTTAAAGTAAAAAGATTTATGTAGGAAGCTTTCCCTCGCTGGAACTTGCTGGAACATGATCCAGGTACACTCTGCATCACATCAAACAAACTTTCACACTATTTGAGGCTTATCGGTCATTGTTTAGAGTTTTCTTTCATTTTTAATGGAGCCTCACTGCACACTGAACAAAGTTCACAAGGAAGCAGAGAAGAATAGCAGCTGAACTTTTCTTTCTTTACACCCAACATTGTAATTGCTCTGACGCGTGCGCGGTGACAAAGGGAGGCCAACTCCCGGATAAGACCGCATTGTGCTGCTGGCTGTTATTCAGACCTCCTCTGTGCGCTCTTGAGGTTGTTAGGGGGGAGGAAAGAAGAGGCAAGGGGGGTAGTGTTGCTCGCGCGTGTGTGTGTGTTTGAGGGGGGTGAGGGTCCTGCAGGGTTTGGGCTATCAGGTTGCTTTTGTCTGGACCTCATGAGAACAGCTGTATGGTAATAAGCGGCACATGGTCGGCCGTGCGCGGGGCTCCAAACCCTGCTATTGTCTCCTCTTAGCGTCCATCCCCAGCGCGCGACGACGACGCACACACACACACACACACACACACACACACACACACACACACACACACACACACACACACACACACACACACCGCTGCTATAGACCGCTAACCCCTTATTGATCGGACAACCCTGCAGCACCTGTCGCTGAGGGAGAGGGTGCAGAGTAAACGCACCTTAACTTTTGTTTGCACAACAGGACACAGATTTGTACTCAGATAAAGACCGCACCCAGCAGATGTAATTTAAAGGAAAAATCCGCTTTTTAAATGTGTTAAGAATAATGGAAGGTAATGATTTGTTCCTGGTTGTTTTCTTGGCCACTTTTCTTTCCAAACTTTCTGAAGGTCACTTCTGTGTCCAAAAAGCCAATATGATCCAAAATGTACGAAGTAGAAGAGCCATGAAAAGCAAAGAGGACAAATAATATTGTGGGGATCCCTGACTAACACGTGCCTCTGTTTATCTGCATGTTTATGGTTGTATGTTGGGCGGAACTGGGGGGGGGGGGGGGGGGGGGGGGGGGGGTTATACTTATTATAATGAGCAGCGAGGGCGCGTGCCTGCAGTGGCCCCACCTACATGTTGGCACGCTTCCCTGCAAAACATGACGAAGAAATGAGGGAGGAACTTCTATCATAGTTTGATTTAAAATGTTTTTAGAATCACTGTCAGCTCATTGACCTCAAGGTCATCCACTTCAATGACTCAAAAACTGAGACCAAGACTCTGGAACTCAAAATGGTCACATACAAAACTTGACATTGTATAGTTAATTTAATCAGCCCCCTTAAAAATGAAGATATTCTCAATAAAATCATGACCAGTCTGAAATTATTTACAGTGTTGACCGGAGGAGTTTGTGCACTGTTAGCCTTTTTTAATCTCAGCTTCAAAGAGTCTTTATGTATGGTCTGGTGTGTTTTGGGTAAGAGGCTGACCTTTCAAGTCTAGGCTGTTAAAGTGTTATTTTTTTCTCCAAAAACTGCCTTTTTCTACTTAGGCCGGAACTACACGAATGCAGATATATTTCAAACTGCACATATTTATGTCCGATTAGGCCTCCCTACCACACCAAAAACGGGAGTTTGGAACAGTCAAACCGGGTAAATCTAAATCCGAAAAAACAAGTGGAGAAATAAAAAAATATCTGTAGGTGGATTTGTGTGGTTGAACCTCATCGGATCGATGACGTCAAACCACAGCTTGCGCATGCCAATTAAAAAGAAAAACAACAACAACGATGGCGGACATACAGGGTAGTCTTTACATTTGTTTTGCCCTTTTGGGGCTAATTTCAGCCTTGCGAGTGAACCTTGTTTTATACAATTACATCCACCAGTCAGCCAGCTCACAGACGCGTCTGCTGCGGCCAATACTTTTATTTAAGCGCATTCGTAACGTTAATATTAGGCGTTTTAAAGTTTGCCAGAAGCGTAAGTTTTGGGTCAACCCGGTCGGACCAGCAAGTGGTGGGACAACTTCGTTAGAGGGGCTGTGCCTGCAGATGACACCGTCACATGGACCCAACGCACTAGCGTAGCTTCCGCAAACAATGCATGACGCATCACGCTGTTACGATTCATCGGCCAATCAGGTAGCTTTGTTCCTGAATTTTTTTTTAAGCGGCACCACTATAGGATTGAGTTTGAAGGCTACGTGTGGATGCAGATATTTTTGAGAACTAACACGTGTGGACAGATACATTTATTTAGACGGGAGTACAAAAATGTCCTGATTAATAAATATCTATATATGTGTAGTTCGGGCCTTAGTGTGTATGTGATGCGTTGTGTGCTACCTGACAGAGCACACAGCACTGCTCTTGGTACATGCTCTGGTATTATCATCATTGACGTCTGCAACTCCTTACTGGCAGACCTCCCCATATGCACAGTCAGACCTCTGCAAATGATCCAAAATACTGCAGCTCTTTTAGTTTTTAACTAAACCAAAGCAGCACATGCCACTCTGCACTCTGCTATTTATCTTTTTTTTTACTGGTTCCCGGTAGCAGCCCACATCAAATATAAAGGGCTACTTCTTGCCCACAAAACTGCAACACACTTTTGAATCAGACAGGAAACATTAAGGGGAGAAGACATTTTTGGGGATTTTTATGGCTTTGAGTATTTTTTGTACAGAAAATGTTCATCATTTATTTCTTAAAAAGTGGAAATTTATAGCTTTGACATGCCATTTTTACTAGGGCATTGGTGCTTCAGACGAGATTGTGTAAACCTACAATCAAATAGATTAATGCAGCATGTGACATATAGCAACCGACATGTAAACAGACAGAGGCAAGCAGAGTAAAGAAGCAAATGTTCAGTCTTGTTTTAAGACTGACATCTTCCAGTTTTTGAGCAGATTTAACAGAGCTTCCAGTGGAAACTGCCATCCTGACAGACCCACCCCATTTTCAATTAAAAACTGTGATTGGGTAGGTAAAGCAGACACTAATGGGAAATGGTGTAGCATGACAGTGGTTCAAGACCCACCTGCCTGCAACAATGAGCTGGCAGAAGAGTCTGGTGATACCTGACTGATGCATCAATTTAAGGAGGATGTGTGTCTGAAGAAAGAAGAAGAAGAAGAAGAAGAAGAAGAAGAAGAAGAAGAAGAAGAAGAAGAAGGAAAACAAGATGAAGAAAAAGTAGAAGAAGAAAAAAGTAGAAGAAGCAGAAAAAGAAGTGGAAGAAATGGAAGTACAAAATGTGGAAGAAAAAGAAATAGTCGAAGAAGAAGTAAAGATGTAGAAAAAGTAAAAGAAGTAGTAGAAGAAGAAGAAGTAGAAGTAGTAGAAAAAGTAGAAGTAGTAGAAGAAGTAGGGGTAGAAGAAGAAAAAGAAGAAGAAGAAGAAGAAGAAGAAGAAAACATATCTTTTAATTAAAGACCCACTCCGATAAAAATCATGTTTTATTTTCATATGGCATTTTTTTGATGCTACAGGACAAATCATGAAAAAAGTAAGTGCAAGATTGTATTTCTAAGTATTTCTGCATTCAAACCACTGTGAATCTCTGGCAGACCCAAACAGCAGGTTCAGACATTATGAGATTTCCTAAATCCAAGCTCCGCCCTCAGAGACCCACTAAACAGGCCAGACTCAGAGAAATAGAGAGGGCAATTGCTGAACAAGCATGTGCGTTAGTTGATTGAAATGCTCCTAAGAAAGATACTTATGATATTAGCTCTTATCATGCCCCTAAAGACATTAGTGTCTGAGAGCTGCTCCTATGTTACCTGCCACTTCTACTACACTAGCAATGTTAGGCTACAAGCTAGTATGAAGAGGAGTGTGCAGAGCAGCGCTGTCTCTGCCCATGACTCAGAGGTGAACTCCTAACGAGCTACTGGAGCTCTGCAGAAGAAAATGACACAGGTAATGTGTTTTTGTCTAAAACCCCTTATCACAATTTAGAGACCACTGAGAACACTTTAAGTAGTAAAGAGAAAAAAAGATTGGAGTGGGACTTCAAAGAAATGCTCCTGACTCACAGAAACCCCCACGATATCATCATGTTTTGTTTTTTCAGGTCCATTTGTGTGAATGCTGCAAATATTTACACCATGTTCATCTACACCACTAATTAGTGCGATTAATACCTAGCCTTCTAATTTAATGATTTTCACGTTATTCTAAAGAAACTTAGCATTAATTTATTGAGTTCAATTTTAAGGTTTCTGGAATATTTTCCTTTTCTAATAAACTAACAAAATAATTGCATTTCAACATTTTGGCAGAGCAGTTATGCTCTGGTGAAATTTGTTCTCCTTCCTTGCAGTTTTCACAAACTTACATTTTAGAGACCCAAAGCTCTCCTGACTGACCTGCACACTCTCTGAATCATTCTGTCCACCAGGATCAGTTTATGAAACACAATTCAAAAGTCAGAATACTACCAAAGTTTAAAAACCAGAGACGATTAAAATGGATGTGTTTTAATGTTGAATCGCTCAAATTAGTAATCATCAACAGAAAAGACATCTTACAGCAACACTGACATTCCTTGCACACATTTATGAAGCTCTGCTGTATCTGCATCCAGGATCCTCTGGATT